GACCCGGGCTAACGAACCTCGACAGTGCTGGCATCATTATTGCGGGCTACGACAAGCGACACGCGGGCAGGTGTACTCGATCCCACTTGGAGGATCCTTGCACAAGCAACCGTATGCCATCGGCGGGTCCGGGTCGACCTACATCTACGGGTACTGCGATGCGCACTGGAAGGAGGGCATGACGGAGGAGGAGGGCGTGGAGTTTGTGAAGAATGCGCTGCGAGAAGCCATCAAATGGGACGGCAGCTCGGGCGGAGTGATCCGGCTGGTGGTGTTGACGGCCAAGGGGGCGGTGCGACATCTGTACCTGCCTGATAATGGATACACGGGGCCTGGACCTGTGAGCTAGGGGGCTGTACTAATACGATTGTCTTGCATCTTTCTTTCTTCTAGTTGACGCAAATGTGTTTTTGTTTGATGAATGACAAGACAACGGCTGTCGAGCTCATCTGGTTGCATCTATTGACTTGTGGGAGCCTGGGGCACCCATCCTTGATATATCTGGCCTGACGAATCCACTGGCAGTGGCAATCTTTGAGGCCAAAATGCGCCAAATCCGAATTCAGAGGCTATAGAATCGCGTTCAGAGTGTCTGGTATTGCGAGCCACCAGCGCGTGGAATAATCAGTTAGACTGCGGTTCAGTAGCTAGGTATTGACATGTCGACAGCTTGAGTGATCTTGTGCTCGATAGATTGATCTCGTCCCAGCGATCTGGTCTCCCAAGTTGACGATCAATCGATTAGTCCCTCAACCTGCCCGTCGTGACAACACTGGCATAGTATTCGATGTCGTAGAGTAGAATTAGATAGATCGAGATGGCATCTCTTGGCCCCCAGCAGTAGAGAGACGGCGATCCGGCAACGCGGAATCAGCAAGTCGCTCTCCGCCACCTGCGCGGCTGGCGGCCTGCCATTCGCCCGTTGCGCTGCCAAAGACAGGAGTCGAGCAGACGACCAGATCTTCCTTTCTCCTGCTTTCTCTTGCATGCAATTGTTCTAGGCCATCGTTCTTAATCTCGATCTTCCTGCCTATTCCTGCTCGCGTCCTCTGAGCTATCTTTTTCCTTTCTGCTGATGGATGCGGAGAACTAGGGGTACATGCACCGTACTCCAGCCTTGCTGCAGCTTCTGTCCTCTTGGCTAGCTACCTGCACTGCCGCTGTGATTGATAGACGAGCGACTGCAGTGACTGCGGACTGCTAGTCGACTGCAGCAAGGGATTGATTGGGCGAGTCGTGACAAACACGCCTGCTCCCTTTTGGGCAGCAGTGGCAGCTCCGTTGCTCTCAGTCCATTGCAGTCTTTTACAATCAGTCTGCCTGCACACGCAATGCCCTGTGGCAGTGAGTGGCGTTGCGGTGGATCGAGTTGCGAGCTGCCTGTTCTCTCTCTGTTGTGACGTTTTCCGCGACCGCCCCTCCTGCCGGCTGCTCGACGAATAACGAACCGAAACTCCTCCATCCGGCATCGACCTTCCTCCTGTCCACGTCCTGCGTCCTGCGTCCTGCCCGGTCTCGATAAGCTCGTGGGACAATGTATGCTCCCCTCTGGCCTAGCAATTATTAATTCCACGTCCCTCGCTTCCTCCCATCCCTCCCCTCCCTCCGCAATCCTGTCCTTCCTGCCCTCTCCTCTCCGTCCTCTGCCGTCACCGCTGCCAGTGCCCCGCATCGCCTCTCTGTGCCCGCCTCGCTGCCCCGATTCCAGAGCGCGTCTGTGAGACTGAGAAACTGACATGGGATCCGTGGTCATTAGCCCTGCTGCCGTGTCGGACCAGGTCTACCCCCCTTCCTCCACGGGCACCATGCTCGGAGGCGCCGTCAATCGGGCCGCAAAGTCGTCGTCGTCGGAATCCGCATCTCGCTCGTCGCCGTCTCGCTCAGCTTGCCAGCAGCGCGATCCTCCGCCTGGCAGCTCCAGTAGCTCCAGGTCGACGTCCACTGCTGCCGACAACACCCCCACCTCGTCCACCGTGCCCCCCTCCGTATCCACCGTCGCCTCGACAGATGCGCCTCCTCAGCCAGCATCGCACGATGTCCCGGGATATATCTCCTCGCAGTCTCATCACCATCATCCGTCCACGCAGACCTCGACGATGACGAACCCGCAGCAAGGCCACCGGCCGACTTCGGCCGCTGCCCCTCCTCCTTCCCATGATCCCCGGTCGCGCCCAACGGACTTGCGACATCCTCCCCAGGCTGCGCACGGGACTGCACACACGGGCGTCTCCATGGCCCAGCCAGGCCAGTCGCGGATGCCCAGGCCGCAGACCGCCGCGAGCGCTTCGTCTCCGTCGTCGCCACGATTGCAACCGTCGTACCCGTCGTCTCGGTCCCTGGGAGGCTCCGAGGCCACCTCCCCGAGCCGGATCAAGGTGCGCGACCTGTCGCACATCCAGAGCTTTGTCAGCGAGGAGCTCATGGAACAGTCCCAACGAGCCCGACGACCGGGGCGGGGGCTGGAGGTCGGGCGCCAGTACGAGATCAGTTCGATGCCGGTGACAGACATCATCGAGATGGTCGCAGGACTGCTGACCAAGATCACGACGACAAATGACATGCAACACGAGCGCCTCCATCGGCATATCCCCCCGCCCGACGGCGCGTCCAATCTCAGCCCGCAGGCGAGCAGTGTCCTCGCCTTCCACGGCAAGAACGTGCCCAGCATCACCATCCTGAGCTACCTGACCCGCATCCACAAGTACTGCCCCACCACGTACGAAGTCTTTCTCAGTCTTCTGGTGTATTTCGACCGCATGACGGAGATGGTCAACCGTCGCCCCAAGCGGAGGCGCCGCCGCGTGGATTCCGCGGCGACGGCGGCGACGCCCACCGCTCCGTCGTCCAGTGCGTCCGTCATGACGCCTCCGTCGTCGAGCGGGACGACCGCGCAGGACCCTAAGTCGCCCGAGTCGTCAGCACCATCATCATTGCAGCTCGAGGAGGAGGAGGAAGAAGAGGAAGATTACTCCAACTTCTTTGTCGTTGACAGCTTTAATATCCACCGGCTGGTCATCGCCGGAGTGACCTGTGCGAGTAAATTCTTTTCGGATGTTTTTTACACTAATTCTCGTTATGCGAAGGTATGATTATGATTCTGCCCGTTAACCTTTCATCTTGGAACCCGATGTACTGACAACTGTGAACAGGTGGGCGGCCTTCCTCTTGTTGAGCTCAACCATCTCGAGCTGCAATTTTTGCTGCTGAACGACTTCCGACTTGCAGTACCCGTGGAGGAGCTGGAAGCATACGGGACCATGCTGGTGGAGTTCTACGCTCGCGAAGTGGTCGCTCAGCAGCTGCAGAAGAAACAAGCTGCCCTTGCTGCTGCAAAGCCGTCCGCGGGCCTGGGGCCCCCTGGCGGCTATCAGCAGAAGCGTGGAGAGTCGGAGTATAATAACCAGACGCCGACGCCCCCACGGTAATGATCAGTTTGTCAATATTTTTGTTCCTTTTCCAGTACGATACTTTCGGTTGTGACGTTTCACGTGATAGAAGGATACGGTTTATTTTTGGCGAAGTGGTTTGCAAATTCTCTATCGAGGGTGGTGATGTGAACAACCACTGCCTCTGTCTGGTCCTGTTTCTATGAGTACCCATCCCGATATCATTCCGTTTTAATTTGTTACTTGTTCTGGTGACGACTCGTGTTGTTCTGTCTATGTTATAGATTTTGTTTTTTTTTGTTTTATTCTGTCTCGTTTCGTCCCTGGCTGTTTCGTTTTCTTACATGTCCGGCGTCGTGTATGTGCCACTGCTATCATCATGTTCATACTAAATCCGGGACCTGTCCACGGCGTTCGGCGTTGACATTTCCTTGTCAGTCTGAGTCGGAGGTATTTATTTACTTGTCTAGCATCATCATCATCATCATCATCATCATCATCATCATATATCATTGTGCCATACATACATACTGCATCGTCAGCCAGCCGTCCGTGTTGTGTGATAATGCATCGCATCGCATTGCATTGCATAAATTCGACGCAGTAATTCTTCACCATAGCTTTGTAGCAGTAGTCAATCATGTAGGTAGCCTAGCCTCGTACTATCTATCTGAGTTCGACTTACCATCGACTCTAGTCGTCTGTCGTACTATAGACATTGACATTGTAGTGTCCTATAACATTGACGGCTAAGATCAAGATTAAGATTAAACAACAGCAATATTAATCAATCAATTCCAGTTTTCTGTCTGGAACAAGCTGCGAGGCAAGACAAGAGCCAAGGCAGAGGACAGATAGCGCTCTTCATAACTATCCTATACTATCCTTATCTTATGTCCTGTATCTCATACCCTATTAATGAATAGTCTATCCATATACATATATTTTTTTTTTCGCTTTCTGGTACATACATTGATATTTCCTTCATCCTTTCATTCACTACTACTACTACTGCTCTGCATAGTGAGCCATCCAGAGTCGTCAACTATCTACCTATCTGTATGTAATGTAATGTACTGTACATACAGTACATACAATCCATATGAAGAATCAGAAGAATTCATTTATTCATTTATTCATTCATTTATTTATTCAATTGATTGATTTTTTAGCGACGAATATGTTCGTTTATTTATTTGCTTGTTTTGCTGTTTGGTTGGTTGAATAACAATCCTTTGCTTGACTAATTTTATTAATCTAATCGTGCTCTTTTCTTGCAGCTGAGATTGGAAGACTGAACGGTCACTCCTCGTTCGTCAGGTTCTATCTACTGTACATAGGTATCTCTGTAATGTCAGAGCGAATAACGACGAATCGAATGGAGCTGTGGATGTGATGTGACTATCTTGGAAAAAAAGAAGAGAGAGAGTGAGAGAGAAGGATTGAAGATATTGTACATACAGTACAACCCTCCCTCTCCTCTCTCCCTCTCAACCACTGAAGTGAACTGAAGTAAAGTGAAGGGAAAGACTTCATATCTATACTATACTATTCTATTCTATACTATTTCTATTCCATTCTGTCCTGAAGAGAAAGAGAAAGAGAAAGACAAAGACTAGATAGATAGAAATCATAAATAATACAAGCCGTTGTCGCTGATATTATAATACTAACCAGACGAGAAGTTTGAAATTACTTGGGTGGCGTTAGGAAGAGGAAGGAAGGAAGGAGGAATTACTGCTTGCTTGTTTGCTTACTAGCTTGCTTGTTTTCCTACCGCTAAAGCAAAGCACTTCTCGATAACTATTCGGAAGATCACAGCCAAAAGCAAGCAAAAGGGAAAAAAAAGGAATGAGCTATACATACCAGCACGGTGGTTTACTTATTTGACAGTGTGTGAATACCCCATGGGGTATATGATATTGGGTTGGTTATCAGCTGCGGTTAATAAATAAATAATCGTCGCTACGTGTCCTGGTAAAGGAATGCTGCGTTGTGAATAATGTATTCTTGGCGATGCGGATAAAGAGTAACAATGCTACAGGGAAAAAAAAACAAGAGTTCGACGTGTATGATAATTGTCAAAAACACTCGCTGCAGCTTTTACAAATGCCATCATCAACGGCGTCCTGAAATAGAGATAATACAATCCTCAAAGCGACATTTTATTGGTTTCCCTCGACAATTGGCTCATCAGACTGGCTACTACCATACATCTAGTTAAAGGAATATCATAGCGAATCAATTGCATGTGTTCTCCAGCCAACACCACGACAACATGCGAACTGCACACCTCTCCAAGTCCCTCGGTAGACGAGAGACGTGAGATGGCAGCATATTGCAGATATATGGCAGATAAATGGAAAAAAACCAATGAAACCAATGAAAACAAAGGAAAATACAAAAGCAAGACAAAAGTGGAAAGAAAAAAAGAAAAAAAAAGACGGAAAGAAAGACAAAGGAAAAATAGTAACAAAAAAAAAAGGAAAGGGAGGGGGAGGGAAGGGGAAAACTTACATGTTCCAGCCAGATCCTCCCCCGAGGGTGAGCCTCGAGCCCAACCCTCGACCGAATCGTGCCAGCATGTTACATCGTTAGTGAGTTCCTTTCATTAGGCAAACGGAGAAGACACTTACCGGCCAAACAGGTCCATGACTGGCCCTCTCGATGAGTATCTTCTTCAGTGAGACGGCGATCTATAAACCATTAGCAGTACCTGAGGGTCTTTCCCCCAGAGAAAGACCAGAGCCAGCAGACACGGGGACAAAAGAAATAAAAAGTATAAACAAGAGAAAACGTTATACATGCAAATAAGAAATACAAAGCAAGAAAAGCAAAAGGAACAGAAAAAAGAAAAAGAAAAAAACAAATAAAATAAATACAAGTAAGAAATACAGAACAAGAGCAAACGCAAAAGCAAAACCAAAAGAGTGTGCGATAAGAAAAGTAGGCTTCTCGCCCGAGATGCTTTAGGATGATTTTCTGTTCTCAATTTTTTTTTGGGTTTTTTTGGATTTTCAAGTTTTTTTGGTGTCAAAAGAACGTGGATGAACTTACTATAGAGCAAATCCACCACGCTCCCTGACTTTTTCACGATATCTATTCCACGTCCGGAAGATATCGTCGCGGTTCCACCCATGGATCCCCTTCTCCCGCCAGCGGCGCTTGATGCGAGCGAGCGAATTCCACGCGCAGCCGTCGTTGGTGCACGGCTTGTGGGCGTCGTGATAGAAGAGGGAGCTGTGGTCATGACCCCACATGGTCATGTATTTCTCGGTCTCTCCCTCTTCGTCGGGTTCGGCTCGAGGCGTCACTCGCCAACCCTGCAGGCGTCCCGTGAGGTAAGCGCCGTCTCGGAAGACGTGCCGCTGTCGGTCGATCCAGAAGCCGACCTCGTGGACGGTCACATCGCCGAAGCGGACCCGTTTCTCCGGCATCTCCTCGGACGAACCAGGTCGAACAAGGAGACCACCGTAGGCGGGCACCCTTTGGCGAGCACTTGTCGGGGCCGTCTCACGAATCGCGGGGCGTGCGGGTTTTGCCAGTCGTGGAGGCGTGGAAGTTGTCGCCGACTGACCTTTCTGCAACCAAGGTCTCTGTCGGTGTTGACGGGCTGCACGCCGTTCCTCGAGCCAGGACGATCTCGACGTCTCTGGACGCGGCTGCGAGCGTGGCGACAAACGAGTGGCATCGGCGGATCGTACCTTCTCGCAGCGAATGGGCAAGAGAGATACGGATGCCTCCGAAGAATCAGACAGGCGGGTCTGAGGCCGGGACGACACTTTCTTGGAGAAAAATGTCTTGGAAAGGATCGGAATGCGCGATGGCGGAGGAAGGGGTCGGTTGATAGGCGCCTTGCTGACCCCAGACTTGGACACAGATGGACTCTGAAATCCGTTGTACTGGGGAGGAGAGCGAGGACGCGGCGGGGGGACGAGGAGGCGGTGATAGCCAGGGCGTCGCGGCGCCGGCGGACAACGAAGGACTGGGCGCTGATGCGCCGGAGTCGCCGGTTGGCGAGGAGGACGAGGAAGCAGGTGGAAAGGGACAAAGTCTGGGTTCTCACGGAACTTGACAGGACCACGAGGCATCGGATTGAAAACCAGCTGCCCGCGGTAGCGTGAGGCCGGGTCCCTTATCCAAGGAATACCAGGGATACAACGGCAAGACATTGCACTGGTATGAGAAGAGAACAGAGATGAGAGCAGAGAGTAAGGAGGAGAGCAGAGAGGAGAGCAGAGTGAAGAGTGTGAGCAGTGGTAAGCGTGGTAAGCGTGGTGAGCGCAGAGAGAAGTGTGGGAGCGAGAGTACTAACAGCACAAACGCCAGAGGACCGGTGGCCTGGGGAAAAAAGAGAAGAGGAAGAAGAAGAGCGCGGGAGGGGGAGGGAGGGGGTATCTATAGCTTTGTTTGGAGGGGGGTGCCTGCTGCTCGTTGCTCAGGACGATGGCACAAGGACTGCCAAAAGAGGAAGTGTATATGGGCGAAAGGGTGCAATATTACCCAGTTGGGAAGGGAGGACTGGTTCGTCGAGGAGCAACCGGATCCCTACGATGAAGCAGAGGAAGAGGACGGCCGTGTTCTGCGTCTGATCTTGGAATCAGCTTTTGATATGACTGTATGAAAGACGGGTATCTTGTAATATAGGTGCTATATTATCGCAGTATCGCTTTTTTACCTCTCGAACTTGCCCACAGAGTCGAAGATCAGCCAATTTGCTCGCAGGTCTCGACCGGTCAGAGGAGATTTTAAAGGCCTGAGGCTGCTACGTTCAATGCAGTGTCGTTGAAAGAGACGTGTCGTCTAAAATCGCTGATCCTGAATTACCCAAAAGGGAATAGCGGATGATACTCGCATACTGTATAGAGTAGGTCACGCCAGAACGGATGCTACTGCTCTCAAACGGCATTCTCTCGTCTTGGGCCGAAGATCAGAAGAAGAATGTGATGCATCCTCGATTCTTGAACGTCAGGAATCAATCAGGCAGAGCCTCAGGCAGGCGTGTTGTTGACTCGACGTTGTGACAAGGTTGGCAGGAGCTCTGCGGGCGCTCTCTGCGCGTTGCGATGGTGACCGTGCAAATGTCGTCTTGTCTGCGTCATCGTCTGTGAGAGTTGTTTGTCTGTCTGGTCAGGAAGAAGGTCGTGAGAGAAGGAACAATGTTGATATTGTGCGTCATTTCTGATATCGTACTGCACTTGGACTTCGCAGATCTGTGTATACTCGACTGACTTGGACAATGAACCAATCTAATCTGCATCAAAATCAACAAGCAGATGCTCATTTCCAGTATACCCTTCCCTCCATCAACCTGCGCGCTGTGCGAAACACCGTTGACTTCTCTAACTTGCCGCTCTCATTGTAGGAAGCCCCGACGACCAACTTCCCGCTGGGATGCCCGATTATCAGCTCTGCTTTCTCGGCTGAGCCCTCTGGAAGACACTCGTTCACGATAGAACCTGCAAGCTTCGCCGCTGCTGAGACACACAATCCGGACGTGATAGGCAGCGCCTTGTGCGGCTGGCCGGTGGAGATGGCACGGACGACGACGTCCACGGAATCTGGGTCGAGCGTTTCCCCAGACAGAAGCCTGTGTGACGAGGGCTTGGAGACAAAACAGATCTTGGGTATGGAGGGAGGAACATCTTCTGCTGTCTGGGCCATTCCCATGGCAATGGTGGCTTTCTTGCGGAGGGACTCTAGCGATCCCAGCAGGTCAGGACGGGCATCCGTGTCATGAGGCAGTATCGTCCCATCTACTCCAAGATCCTCCGCCTTCACAAAGACACAGGGATTGCCGGCGTCGATGCATGTCACTCTGATCCCATCGATGACATCCACCACGTTGCCAGTTGGCAAAAGCTTCCCTGTCTTGGACCCTGCCGGGTCGATGAAGTCGAGCTGGATCTTGGCCCCTGTGCCGGCTACGCCATCAATAGCAAAATCCCCGTCAGCGACAGCCTCCTTACCGTCTTCGGAAACAGGAAAGGTGGCATGGATGATCTTGTCCGTGTTGGTATTGTACAAGCGCACGGTCACAGATGAAGAACCTTCTCCAGGGTCGATCAGTCCGGAGTCAACAGCAAACGGCCCGATGGCACTCGACATGTTGCCGCAATTGCCCGAGTAGTCGATCCGGCTATCCTTGACGCCAACCTGGACAAAAGTGAAGTCGATCTGGGCGTCATCGCGTTGAGATGGCGCCACGACACAGATCTTGGACAGGCTGGAGATGCCGCCGCCCATGCCATCGAGCTGTCTGCCATTGGGGTCGGGCGAGCCGATGGTCCCAAGGAAGATGGGGGCCCAATCTGCGCGGTTGGGAGGGAGGTCTCTGGCATGGAAGATCAAGGCGCGAGACGTTCCGCCGCGGTAGTAGGCCGCAGGGATACTGTGTTGCTTAGTTGTGTAGCGTGCCATGGTGGAAAATGCTCTCGAGCAGGCGTGCTTGAACTAGGCATTAGCGGGTCTATCCATGCAGAGATAATTATTGGTATGACACTTACATAGGAAGACATTTCGGCAATATATACTATATCAAATTCTACCCCTAAGTGTCATCAGGTCTTGCATTTATGTGCGTGACATTGAATTCAATGTCCAGTACAATGATTCTCTTCTGTCATACAAAATCAGAAATGGATTATGTACCCAGCTGGCTCTTCGTCGTTGTTTATGCGCGAGTGAACCTCCGGTCTGTCTTGTCTGGTTGTTGGACTTCCTTTCCCCGGCGAGAATTCCGGAGTAAATGGATCCGGAGAGTTTAAGTATTACCCCGCGGGGATATCACGTGATGATTTGTGGAATAAGACTATAAAAATAGGAGATTCTTATAAATTATAATCTTAAGTAGAACTTAATATGGTGTGTTTATGTCGAATTTCAATCTATCTATATAAATACTTTTCTATGAAGGAAGGCGTGAATACAGTATCTGTTTCGTGTTCTCTGGTTTCTTTGTTCAATCAATAGGCATATACAATCCGGAGTCTGAAGACTTAATTAAAGACAAAGACCATTATCAAGTATCAATTTCTTTTTCTTTCTTCTTCCCTTTTCCTAAAAAAAAAGGAGAGAGAGAGAGAGAAACGGGAAATTTCCATATCCGGAGTCCCTGACTAATAATGACTTTCCCAGTAGGTATATATATTCTTACATTAGAATTTGTGCTCTGTCCTTTTTCTTTCATCGAGCATAGGTCTTAACGTTCAGGAAGACTACATTCTGTGTGTATGTACATATCCAGTGCTTTTAAGATACAGATTTTTATGTGTTTTGAACAATGCAAGAGAGAAGTGAAAGAGACAGAGAGACATTGTCTCTCTAAGTAATGTACATTTTTTTTTCTTTGTTTTGTTTTTATCTTCTCTGCACGACGGTATCAGTATTTCCTCAGTGAAGATAACAAGATAATAATGAGACAAATTAGAAAGTTTGTATTCATTAACCCATATAAATATATATGTCTCCCCAGAATGACAACCATGCTTCATACTCCTTACTCATCCTACTGACTCCTCTTTATCTATCTTCCGTCATATTCGACATTCCTTTCGCGGAACCCTGGCTAGATACACTACCATATCGACTTCTCGTCCAGCTATCTTCATCAGAATAGTATCGTATCATATCACATCAAATCACACCATGCCACAGCGCTGCTCCACACCCTCTGCACACTACACAGCTTCCTCCTCGGACATTGGTCTCGGACTGGCCCGCCATACCCGACTCGGTGTGTGTCTCGTCCCGAAGGAACTACACCTGCAGAATCAATCAGACGAAGAGCATTGGGATGATGGCGACGACTCAGAGGAAGAAATCATACTGAAGATCACGCGACTTCCGTACGGAGCACGGAATATGGGTTTGACAGACGAAGAGGACGAGGACGAGGAATGGGAATGGCAATGCCAGGGCCCATCCCTTGGTAAATGCGAGAGGATATACCCAGGAGAGTATTCGGAGGGATATCAAGATGAAGAGGATGGCTCAGAAGAAGACACTGATTTCTGGAATGCCGAACCCCCATCGTTCAGAACGGATATTTTCGACAATGTCAAGACCAACGTCATCGAGAGCAAGTCCAATACAAGCTTGATATCAAGCCCTATCAGTCCCAAGACGATACCAAAACACGCATACCTCGACAGCGAGGATTTAATCTGTCTTAGTCCCGTGGAAGAAAATGACAACAGTATCGACATGAACATTAACACGATGCCTGGACTCCAACGAAAACGAAAATACGAACATTTCTCAGCAGAGACAGCAACAGGGAAGGAAACACAGACACAGACACAGACACAGGAGAATGCGGGTCAGCCGTGCTTCTATCCTAAGTATCCTCCGAATCCTTATTCCTGTTCTCGTAATCACTATTACTATCCCTATCCCTATCGCGACAACGGTATGATTCAGGACGAAGAAGGCTACGAAGCCGATAATGAGGATTCTTATTTCGATGACGATTCTGACTCTGACCCTGATTATGACGATTACGATGACGATGATAACGACCCCATACCGGAAGAATATCGGTGTTGCTGTTGTTAGCATTGTTAGTTAAGGCACTATATTCTACAGGTACATATCATACATCATGAAGAGAGAATGTCAGATAGAGAGATAGATAGGCGTTCGAATATTCGAATACTAGAATTATATATGCACGACATAACACAACAATATAATACACAAATACAAAATCAGTATTTCCCGTAAGGACCCTATTCACGATTCTTCTTTCTGAGCGGAATGAGCTCTCACAGTGTTAAAAAGCATGTAGTTACACACTTATGCTAGGTTTTTTTCTTTTTTTATTTTTGTCTAGATGCATTACATTTCAGCGGCATATTATATGATATGTTCTGATCTCTCTTTCCGGCTCTACCCAAAAGGAAAATAAAAATGAGAGAGCATCCTGCCATATAATCCTCCCCCCCTCGACATATCTAGCATGTACGACCATAGGGTGTGGAAAACAGGGCTTCCGGTTCGCTCAGCCGTACTTCAGCCACACGCCAGCTGGTTAGTACCTAGCTAGTTGGTTGGGTGACCACCAGCAAATCCCAGCTGTTGCATGTTGCTGCTCAGAAGCCAAAAGGCGAGTCAACCCGATTACAGCAAGCCGGAACGGGTCTGTATTGCCGATGCGAACGCATTGCTCAGCCGCACTCCTGTTTCGTCGCCTTGCATTTCGAGGCTTTCTTCGAGCTATGACAGAGGCTGGCTGAGTGCCACGTTGTCCGGCGCCATTATTTAAGTACGTGCCTGCCGTAGGTAGTTCGATGGCCTCCTTTCGCTGCTGACGTGCCTGCCTTACTTAGTATATACCTATGGATCCGTTTACCGCGATCGGTCTCGCATCGGCTATCGTCCTGTTCGTTGACTTTGGCACAAAACTCCTTGGTGGCGCCCGGGAGATCTATTTTTCTACGACTGGATCCACAGCCCAGAATGCAACTCTGGAAATCGTCGTCACTGAGATCAGGGCCTGGGCTTCCAGACTCACACTGCCAGGTCTTCCTTGCGTCCAGAGCGACGAGGAGAGGGCGATTTGCAGTCTTGCGAAGGAATGCCAGAGATTATCGAAGCGGATACTAGAACTGATTGAAAAAAACGAAACCAAAGAAGCAGAAATCTAAGACGGAAGCCTTTTTCACCGCAGTCAGGGACAAGTGGCATGAAAACGATAAGCTTCGCCTGCAGGAAGGACTAGAGAATTGCCGGCGGCAATTAACCATACAACTGGAGACTCTGGATAGGTTTATATCCCTCAAGCTTTACTTCAGTTTACCTTCATCAGGTGAAGACTGACGATTGGCGACAGATCGAAGATAAAAAACAGTCTCCAAGAGCTGATCAACTTGGCGAAATCTAATGCCGCTGAATTGACTTCGCTTCAGACGAAGATCAAGGAGCTCAAAGCAGGACTCAATTTTTCATCCATCGGCCTAGATTGTCAACAATTGCTTCGAAACCTCCTGGATGTCCCTGACCGGACGATTTCAGAACTCCTTATCCTGCAGAGTCTGGCCTTTGAAAACATGCATTGGAGATTTGACCAAATCAATGATGCCCATTTTGATACTTTTCAATGGATTTTCGAAGACAAGTCTTTTCAATGGAATATCGAAGACGGGTCGCAAGTTATTGCATACAGTGACCAACCGAATAGAGTCCTGTTCGTTACCTGGCTGGCAAATGGAACTGGAATTTTTCACATTGCTGGCAAACTGGGATCGGGAAAGTCTACCTTGATGAAATACCTGTGCGAGCACGATCGCACAACCGAGCTGTTGCAAAAGTGGGCAGGGAACAAGGAGCTTGTATTTGCACAATTTTTCTTCTGGAGGGCTGGTGGGGATTATGAAAAATCGCTGAGCGGTCTGCTTCGTTCTCTCCTCCATGATACTCTAGAACAATGTCCGGATCTGATCCCTTCTGTGCTTCCACGGCAGTGGCAGAAGATGATGTCGCTGGACTGGCGAGCTAGGTCGAAGCTGCACCTCTCCAAAAAGGAGATCCGAGATGCGTTTGAACGACTCATCCAAATCAACAGTTGTACGAGAAACACAGACTATGCATTTCCATGGACGGATTGGACGAATACGAAGAGACTTGTCAGGAAGATTATAGGGATCTGGTTGAGCTGCTTTTCAGTTGGACCAGGGCCGCACCGGCAGACGTGAAGCTCTGCGTTTCAAGCAGGGAATATGAAGTCTTTCGCAACGCTTTCAGTGACGACAAGAGACTCCGGCTACAGGATCTCACTCGCAAGGATATCGAAAGTGTCGTCCGACACCGATTGAACGGCTTCGAGATATCCGAAACGAATGGCGTGAGTGCAGACAATAATAAAGAACCCTTGGTGACAGAAATAATCGACAGAGCCGACGGGGTCTTCCTGTGGGTCGCTTTGGTCCTCAAGTCAGTCAGGGAAGGGTTGCAGTACGATAATCGACTTTCTAGCCTCATTCAAAAGGTTCGACACATGCCTCAGGATATGGAACCCCTGTTTCACCATCTTCTCGACTCGATTAGCCCATCCGACCGGAGAGCAGCCTATCGCACGTTTGCCGTTGTCCTGGAGCTGCAAAAGTCCGAGTGTCTGGAGATGTCTCTACTGCGATACAGTTTCCTTGAAGACTACGATACCGACGGTAATTTTGCTATGGATAGGGATTTCAAGGATTCTAGTTCGAACAACGATGAAATAACTTCCAGAATGGAACGGGCGCAACGCAGACTCAATGGTCAATGCAAGGGCCTTCTTGAAGTACGACATGACGAAGTCGAATGGAGAAAGCCTGTTTGCTCACAGTCTGTCACTTTCACCCACCGCTCTGTCTTCGACTTTGTGTCCGGAAACAGCATTCAGGCCCGCATGGCATATTATTGTAAGGGATATGATGTTGTCGACGCAATCTGTCAGACATTCCTCGCAGAATTGAAGTTTTCTTCTGGCCAGGAATCCGATCCAGATTATGGACCGTGGCTAGCCTTTGAAGTTCAACAAATTCTTCGCCTTCGACAACTACACGCAAAGGATGTAGACCCTTTCCTTTTTCTTGAATGTCTCCAAACCTAGCTTCTTCATTTCCAAGGGATTTCGTCGGACGAGATCGAGAAGGTGAACTTGATTTTGATTGTCAAGAGAGATGAGCTCCAGGATGAATTTGGAGTGGCGTTTGTATGTGTTTTGTACACAGCGGCATGTCTACAACATGTGGACTACATCTCGTGGAAGATTACCGAAGATCCCACCCTTCTTAGCGATGAAGTCAAATTTGGTAGACTTTTTAGCTCCATCATGAGAGGTGTTTATGACTCAGGCAATCTTACAGCATTACGATTCCTGATATCACGTTTGAGGGACGGTCTTCCCCTGAACCCCCGTCTCCTCGGCCATTGGAAAAACAGTGTGTCTCCGCTTACTATCTGGGAATGGACTATCATTACAGCAGTGACTCGTCTCTCTGACTATGAGCAGGCAGATAGGCGGATGTTTGGCGAACTTCTGGAGATGTTTTTGAAATCCGGTGCGGATCAGAGTTTGCAACTATACTATACTGATTACGATGGCCGTGAATTTTCGTTCATGACTTCGCGCGAATTTTGGACCATGACTTCGGAAGAATGGACTGATGAAATAATGCTTGCTATCACTAACAAAAAAATGAATACATTTCTCAGAAAATATGGAGGAGCCACGCTTCATGAGCTCGTCGATTTCTGGCAGCTGGAAAACGCGGCAGAACTGAAGGAACTCCTCAGTCCTAAACCAAAAAGAAGGCTAGAGAAGGCGTTGGATCGGAAGATAAATCCAATTGATGTGATGATGAGGCGGAGGAGGAAGAAGCAGAAGCAATCGCAGGCGAAGCTGAAACTTCAAAAGTTCCATTGACTACGCCTGCAATACCCGAATCGTCGTCAAAGGAAGAGACCGAATCGCAAGTAATGACCGAAGTCAGAATAGCAGATACTTTTCGCCAGAGGCTTGACTCGATTACAAGAAGCCCGCTGGCTACATTCTTTGTTGGTCAGTATTGCTGCTCGATACATAATCCAGCTGTTGTAGTTTTCTGACTTTACTACTGCCTAGGCATTTTCTTTGCTCTGATTTTAACACGACTGGGGGGGTATAATTCTTGATCGAGTAGTGTGAGAACTGTACATACAAGTGATAACGTGCTTGGACCCGGTTGCGAAGGCTCAGTATGTAGCTATGCTGGTTGCCAGTCAAAAAGTTTCTACTGTATATCTGATTAATTTAGGTTATCAATCTGGCGCCTGGTCTCTTTATATTAAATATGCTACTGCAACTCATAAACCGTTTTCTTGCTGCTGTCTGGCACGTACGACCATAGGGTGTGGAAAACAGGGCTTCCCGTCCGCTCAGCCGTACTTAAGCCACACGCCGGCTGGTTAGTAGTTGGGTGGGTGACCACCAGCGAATCCCAGCTGTTGTACGTTTTTATTTTTAGTTAAATTCACTCCTATTTTCTTGATTCTTTGTGTGGTAGAATTTCACTACTTTCTCTCTTTCATAATGAAATTGGGTAGTACAGTACTCTCTTTATATGTATGTACTCTATTTTATTTACATCGCGTGATGACTGAGACTGAGGGCCCGAGGTATAGTACAGCATTATGGTGTTACGAACCAACAGAACGGAGCGCTGTCCAACACAGCAACACAGGATGAAACACTACCCCGCAAGATTGACAGGATTAGGCATACAAGGTCACGTGATTTAGGAAGGTCCATTGATAAGATAAGCAGAGGAGTCCAACAAGGACCGTGGAAGGGAGGTCCAGTATGGACCATGAGAAGAAGGTCCAACAAGGACCGACAGAAGGAAGGAGATGGAGGACCAAAACAGAAGTTAAAAAAGGGGGCTCAATCTCATGTATCTAGTCTTTCCTTACTCGCGCTCAATTCAATCCATTCAACCTGAGTTACTAAGATACTTGCTTTGGGGTCAGTAAGACTTCTTACTACTAGTGGTATACTTCGGTATAGCTCTAGTAGGCGTTGCCTCTGACCTAGTCGTTGTCATCTGTCCATCTGAAGAACCCTTATCGTGCACCTTTGCGAGACCCCTTTGCTTGTGAGAGGTCGTTCGAGGAAGAGCCCTTCGCCAGGTAGGCCGTTGTCTCGAAGAAGGAGACCCGGATCGGTTAGATCGTCGCGTGCTCGTGAACGACATAGAGTCAGGAAGACTCCTTGATCCTTCCCTAACCACCATCGTTAAGTATCGACGACTACGGTTGGACCCAGCGCGTAACATATGGACACACAAATCTAATTAATTCTAGTCAGCTATTACAACACCAGTAAAATCAGTTGATCTGGATCATTGCCCAAGGGCTCAGTTACGAAGAAGCACAGGAAAAGTCCCCTTGGTAGATACAATGTTTACCAATAAAGGAATGAACATTGATTAAAAAAAACAAAAAAAAGGCAGTATACCCAAGGCAAATAGAGTCAAAATCATGGCAAATTGCACTGCTGCCAATAGTGGCAGAGTAGAGTACCTAAGGTTTCTATGAGCTCTATTGTCAATGACATATATGACTATATACTATACTACGCTTAACTAAGGTCACATATGTTAGCTGGAAAAACGACTGCTTTAGAAGTCACATAACCCATTTTAAGTTGCTACATTGGTAGCATATCTCTAGACAAAGCTTAGATTTCATATTCCCTTGTCTCAATTAATTAATTGAGAGGTCTTTTGGTATCCAGGATGGACCATTTTTATCCCCTTTTCTGAAGTCTGGGTTCACCATCGTTAAACCGCAGAAGCGCCTTTTCTTTCATTCATACTCCTAGAACCCCAGCACCAGGAGAGATCGAGAAATTAGCATCGTCTCCTTCTAGCACAGTAGTACCATCACCATGCTCTGTGGCTACACAAACGGACTATCCATTGCCTATCTTGGTGGTTCCGTGGACAACTTGCGAGGTAACACCGCAGGACCTTGCATTGGATACTCAATTCTTCACGGTAGTGCCAATATATATATTAGCTTCCACCAGTCCCTCTCAACCACAATTCAGGAGTGTTACCCTCTTCTCCTCACTCACACCAATGGACCATCACCAGCAGTACAGTAGCCTATTGACTCTTATTCCCATTCCCATTCTCATTCTTCCTGTTAACCCTCCTTGACGATTTAACAACCTTACTCCCCACTACCACTCTCACAACCACCATCACTACCACCACGATGAGAGGAGAGGATCATACTCTATGTCTAATCTCAGTTCTTAAATAGAGCTGTGGACAAACCAGTGAGTGAGTACTTTGCACTAAATTGAAGCACATTTCTCCAGTGCCTCAAAAAAAAAAACATACCACCAAGTAGGTAGAAAGTACTGTATGTAAGGAGGATTGTTTCCCCTTCCTCTAGCATATTATGATTTCCCCCCCTTTCCCTCATTTTGAATCTAACTTGAAACAGAAATAACTATGAATGTGCCATACCAGACGAGGGGAGTTAAAAAAAATAACAGTTAGTTGACAGTTTCTTGACATTTTTTTATAAAGAAGATTAATGTTATATAAAAGCCCTACATACCTGCCAGTTATTAACAAAATAATGTTAACAAAAAATAATTAACCATTAGCAAGAAAAAAAATTAACACGTTCCTATTTTACATTTCTAACCTCCTTTATGACTCAGAAGGCTTTATTTATTTTTTTTACTATCGAGTGTATAACTTGAACTACTGTACATACAGTACAGTACAATCATGATCTACTAAGCTAAGCTATATCATGTGATTATATTTTACGAAGAAGATGAGGCTTTCAATTTCTATCTAATCTAATCTAACCACAAGACTATCTAAATTCCAAACCATCTAAATCTTGAGGTTGTAGAAAGGAGCTACAGCTTACATATACGAAGTAATGGCAATATATTTTTTTTAAAAAAACCATTCCTAAAAATTAAATGTTCCCTCTAAGTAATATCTCTTCAAAAGAAAAAAAGATTACTTAAGTACTAACAGTATAATAACCATTCTAACTATAAAAAAATAACTGTCGCAGTAAATACAAGGACCTATGTACAGTACCTTGACGGACCAAGACAGAGTGTTCCAGGACGGTCGGTCCAACTCAACCTCGTCACATGGATGATGTGACCCTTTCCTATCTCTCCATCTATCACATGTAAGGATTTGTCCATCATGATTCATGTATGTATGTAAGGTACCTACCTAGTTGGAGGACAGAAGGGACCCTGAAATTTCATGTGTTTCCTCCACCAAGCTTAGGATAGGACCCTTAGGACCTAGGTAAACTCAATTCAATGGGATCCAATTCTCTCCATTTAGCCTCCCCTCTTCCTCCCCTCTTCCTCCTGATCTGATCTGATATGATCTGTTGCGGTGAACCCCCAAATATCATTATCATTATTATGCCAGCTTGAAATTCAAGCTTGCAAGTTGCAATCAAAATCAAGGGCATGCATAAAAATCACAAAAAAAAGAGATACAAAAAAAAAGAAAAAAAGAAATAAATAAATAAATAAAAGAAAAGAAAAAGAAAAAAGAAAAAGAAAAAGAAAAAGAAAAGCAGTACTCCCTCCCTCCCTGAGCACTCACTCACTCACCAAAGTGGAAAAAAGTGGAAAAAAGAGAAAAAAAAGGGAAAGATCCCAAATAAACCCAATGGAGGGCACAAATACCTACCTAAGTTGCTATCTGTATATGTATTTATTTTTATTTATTTATTTTATTTACAGGGTAACATACCATACCATACATCATTGCTGATGGATAGAGAGTCCATATGGTGGTATCCCTAATTTCTGTCAGCCTCTCCACCGGTTCACTTCAAAAGAGAAGAAAAGAGAAGAGCAGAGAAGCGAAGCAAAAAAAAAATTGTTTTCATATTTCGTAACACTTTCCATTCATTCATTCATGCAATACAATAAGACAATAAGACAAGAAATTAATAAAACCAAAAAATAAAACCAACAGGACCCGGAATCAAAAAAAAAGCAAAAACGCCATGCAAGTCAGACAGTCGGTCATACACAACATACAAACATCAAAACAGAATACAACGTAATACACGCATGCCTCGCCACGCCAAGCGATAGCTTATGATATGATCATAACCCGAGAAGGAAAGCAAAGCATTGCTCTTTTGGTAGAACGGGGATAGTTCTACGCCGAAAAGAAACGATTCGTTTTATTGTTTGTTCGTCATCATGCACATTTCCTCTTTCTTATTTTTCTTTCTGTCATTCGATCCTCGGCGGACTACTCGTAGATTGCTTCTCTGACGGACTCGTGCTAGACCTATCAGTTAGTACAAAGTCATGTCACAGCAAGAGTGTCTGACGTACGATCTTCGTCTGGCACCCTCTTTCCTGAACCCCTCAATAATCTTGAGGATTTCTTTCCGCCCGGCGCTCGCATCAACCTTCCGCCCGCCCAGACTCATGCTGATCTTCTCGTTCGAGTTGGCCATCAGCAGCCGCTTCAGCAGCAGATGTCGCATGTTCAGACACACAAACACCCCGCAGTCGTTGCTGTTCTCCTGCACGGGGGCGTCGTCCAGATGCACGAACCGGATTGGCCGGTTGAGCAGCGCGCCCAGCTTCATCGTCACCTGGTACGCCTCCATGCGGTTGCCTGGCGGGAGCGAGTCGTAGTGGAACGCAACCCGGTCGATGATGGAGACCAGAAGCAACGACCAGTGCGTGCCGCCTTCGGCTTCGGCGACGTTCCGGCAGTCGTTGATGGGGAGGAACACGTGTGTGGTGCCGGTGAAGTTGGGCAGGGCGTCGCGGACGGTGCGCGGGTCGGGGGTTTGTAGGAGCATGAAAGACATGCTGGGGCGGAGGAGGACGATATTCGAGTGTTTGAATTTCGACAGAAACTCGCGTTCGAGGTATCTAGACGAGTCAGCTGGGTTATACCCGATGCTGGAACGGCACTGCACTCACTCTTCCCAGAAGGAAATGATCTGTCAAGTCAGCAAACAATCCCGACAATGGCGACAGACGACAACACACTCACATTATCCGTAATCCAGTCATTCTTCAACGTCTGGACATCGCCTCGCGTTACTGTCGCGATCAGCTGGAGAACGGACAGACGTGCACGGTAGAAACCTACATCGGATATCATAATCTAAAACCAGTTCGAATCAGTCGCTGAGCAGAGAAAAACCCACGAACTTCAAAGGAATGGACTCACAGCTGAGATATGCATCGTCAGGATGCAACTGCAAGGTAGCCCGTCACGTCAGCTTGAGCATCGACGTCGGCCAGACAGCTAGCAACCTACCGATTCCCCCAGTTTCCCCATCATCCTTCGCTGCAGCCTTCCAAAGCTGCTCCCTTCACGCATGCTTATCCGAGCTTCCACTTGCAGTGCTGACTGATGACTTCAACTCCGTGTCTGAAACGCGACTGTCGCTGGTCAAGGTCAACACGATGAGCGGAGATTATGACTGTCGACGTGACTCCCTTGTGACTCGTCTGACTCGTCTCGGTGCGCGCAACGATTCACAATACAATATGGAAAAAGCGCAGGGGCGGTAGAATGGAAGTGCAGACGTACTGTACAAAAAAAAAAGTCTGCTAGAATATCACTGATCAAACAATGCAATCAATCCTGTTTTTTTTCCCAAGGGTTAACTAGACAACTGCCCCGCGTCTGCGCTCCCTGCGTTCGTTTGTCGCGGCCGTCTTGTCTTCCGCGCAGGATTGAGGAATGTGACAAAACAACCTTCCGGATCCAAAGGAGTCCAAGAATAGATGAAAGACGAAGACCAGACTCAGCTTCGGTTTAGGTCTGCTATCACCAGCAAAGCAGCTGGTCACCGGGTTTTGATTTGATTCTGCACGCCACGTCCACGTCCACGTCGTCTCGATGTCTGTCTTGTCTGTCTGTCTGGTGGTGCCAATCAATCCACGCGCGCCACTCACTCACTGATTCACTGCGAACGGAAGAGCAGTCGCTTGTGATGTTGTCAAGGGAGGAAGAGGCAGGATTAAATTAAGCAGGCCAGGCCAGCCCAACCCAAAGCGTCAAGTTAACCAAGTCGGGGCCGCGGAAGTGTGCGGGAAGCAGGGAGTGACGATGGCAAATAATGGACGTGTCTTTCGTCTCGAGTTGCGGGGCACGAAACGCCGAGAGAAGGAGCAGGTAGAACTCCGTACGAGATGAGACGATAACAACCCCAGGCCAGGCTAAGTAAGAACTGCCCCACGATACGATACGATCGCAGGACAGATTTACACTAGGTAATTAGCTAGCTAGCTACAACTGCCTTGCGGCAAATGCGTTTCGCATCGCTTGCCCGCCGACGTCACCAGTGGCGGCGCTGCGGCGCAGCTGGCCCACCGCCCGCTGTGGCTGGTGCGTCACGTGGGCAGACAGTAGATATGGACTCAAATCGCAAATAATGATTCTATATACTTTTCGAACTACTCGAGCAGGTCCATCTTAATGAAACAGTTCCACAAGCTTCATTGACTTCTTCGGGCGTAGATGATATGGGTATCTACAGGACATACATACATCCCAGGTCGATCGCGGAACTGGGTAGAACAAACGATAATCGTCAAATCAACCTTGCCTGGCCAGATATATAGGCTGGGCAAGATGTCGAAGAAGAAGAAAGAAGAAAAGAACAAAAAAAAGAAAAGAAAAGAAAAGAAAGACTGACGTGGATAACGATCCACATAACAGTGAAGATTGATCGACAGAAAGGGATAAAAAAAACAATAACACCGCAACCCTCGATCGTCAGACACCTTCCATAATCACATGGGGAGTTAATCACATAGGGTAAGTCATCAAAGAAGAAAAAAACAAATAGTCCATCAAGGTACGAATAAATAACAAACAAACAAACAATGGAAATGTGAACAGAGGAAATCAACTCATAAAACACTCAGTAACCGGGTCATTAGTTGCGCTCATCATAATCCGTGTCATGCGCCTATAAATGCTGAAAGAAAAAAAAAGAAAAATCACAAACGCTCGTGTTGTTGTCGCTGTTGTACAGCAAACTGGAAACGTCAGTATTCACGGTAATCAATAACGCCGCTGTCGGTTGCCCGTCGCAATGTGAACGGAAAAAATCAATCGTTTACGAGGACAGTTTGGCGAAATGCTTCGTCCAGATCCATCCAACCTGCCGGTTCGGATCGTCCTGGTTCCGAGCAAGCCACAGTTCGCCCTTTTCGCCAATGACATCGAAGATCTCCCCCGCCGCATAGGTGAGATATGGGTATCCGGCCTCTTGTCGCGGTCGGTCAATGTTGAACTCGTACAGGCTGGCGGCCAGGAACAACACTTTGGGGTCCTTCGATTGTTCTGGCTCGGGAGGGGTTTCTTGACGCGGAGAGTCAGACATGGGCATGGCAGATGAGAAGAATCCAGAATAGCGGCCGTTCGGAGATGCCGTAGTCTCGTCCATAGTCGCTTCAAAGTGCTCAGGATCATTCAGCAGTGGGTCGTTCATGAACGGCATGTCGAGGCTCAGTCTGGGGAGAGACGGGAAGGGCTCCGTGCGAGTGGTATCCGTACTTGGCCGAGCAGATGCTACCTGTGACGTTGTCCCCGAATTCACCTGTCCGTTCGCCATCTCGGAGGCCGCGCGAGCGACGGCAGACATGGACGAGTTAGTCCGGCGCCGCCCATGCTGAGACTGCCCATCGGTTTGACTCGAGCTACCAGCGTTACTGAAATCGTAGGACACTTTCGGGGAGTTTTCCATGGTTCCGGATCCAGTACGCACACTCGAATTCGTGACAGTCGACGGTCGTCGTGGAGAAGAAGCCCCTGCCTCAGTCGAAGGAGTGTTGAAATTGACCAGATTGACCGCATCAGACAGAAGCGCGCCGTTGCAGAGGCTGAGTGACAGGATCTGCGCATCAGCAAAGGCAAAGTCGGCCGACCAGTCGCTGACGATGCTCTCAATATCGCTCGGAAATTGGTCGATCAGGAAGGACAGCTTCTTCTGGAACATGCTGAACCACCGGACCTGGATTTCCACGAAGTTGTTCAGGCAGGCCTCCATCAATTTGGCTGTGAGGGAGAAGAGCTTGGGCAGCTCATCCTTCAGCGCGTCGTTCAGGATCGTGAACTGCTCTCCCTGCTCGGCCGTTTTCTTGTCTGGCTTGTCACCGCGATCCTTGATGGCTTTGAACCGCGCGTAATCGATCAAACGCTTATTACGCTTGTGCATCACTTTCTGCGGCCCATCATAGAGCTTGAGGAGCGTGATCATCGGGTCGATGACGCTCTTGCGGACAGTTGCGATCTGCGTCTCGTTAGAATGCGGCCAACGGTTGGGGCAAAATTGCTACTTACATGCTCCGGCAAGGCAACGGTGACGATATCGCGTACTGCCATTCTCAACCGGTGCCACTTGCTCTCAACTTCCGTGTAGTTGGACTGGGCCACGTCAATGCACCCTTCGATCGCAGTGACGTACTCGTGAAACCGATCCATGCCCGACTGGATTTCTCGGGTGTACATCTCCACGTCGCGCATGACGACCTGAAGCTGGAAGAAGCTGTCGTTGAACTGCTGCGAGAGCGCATCGTACTGCTTGTCCTCAAACATCTCCGACAGACCAACCTGCTGCTTGAGTTTCTCCGTGCGCCGCCCAAACGCCTTGGACAGACCGGCGCGGACATCCGACTCCTTGCGCTTCCGGCTGCTGACCACTTGGCCAACAAGATCGGCGCGCTTCTTCAACTCGTTGATCCGCACAGAAATATTAGTGACCCCTTCGAGAGCGCTGACTAGCGCCGCGCGATCAGGATGGTCATTGGGGGTCGCCTCAATGAGTTGCGTCAAGAGGAGAGGATATTTCAGGATGCGCTGGACAGGCTTGACGAGCAGAGAGTCGAGATCCCACGCCGTTGTCAAATCCGAGGCCCAGTCGCGGCACTCCTTGAGCCAGATCGCAACCTTTGGGTTCCGCTGGAGCACCTGGAGTTTCTTGTTGGCGGCATCGTGGTTCTTCAAGTAGTCCGTGTAGACCTTCTCCATCTGAGCCATGTTCTCCATGAAGACTTGGCCGATAAATGTCTGGTTGTCTTGCTCCACACTCGGCGTGTCTGCGTTGGTCGTCGAGGACTGCGCATCGGGCTGCGGGCTGGCCTGGTCGCTTCTAGTGCCACGCTTACTTCTCCAGCGTTGAGACTTGGGCATCACGTAGACACTCCTTGCCGCCTGCTTAAGTGCATCTTGGAAATTCATCGAGAATTGCACCACTTGATCCGAGTTTCCAAACAGGGTCCTCACATCCTCCGCCGAGAGGTCCAGGCACGAACTCGAAGTGCCCTTGTAGATGTCGTCGACCACCTTCATGTCTTGACCAAAAGTATACTCCGTATCCACCAACTCCTTGATAACATTCCGGCGCTTCTTCAGCCGTGCTTGTTCGGCAGTAGATAAACTCTCCTGGACTTCAGCGCTGGATGCAGCGGCACTGGCTTGATGTTGGGACGTGGCAGAAGACGCCGCCGTCTCAGGAGATGGGGTGAACCCCGCTTGGGCGAAGGATGACTCCTCACTGCTTCTCACTGGCTGATCGTCCTCAGCGGACCCGAAAGGAGCACTCGGAGGGATGCTAGATGGAGGTTCGCTTGCATAGATGCTGGGCGAGACCATGTGCGGCGGAGGTGGTTGAGACGAGGCATCTTCGACCTTGTCCGGGATAGGAGGCGGTGGAGGACTATGATCAGGGACCGGAGGCGTGGGCGCGATTCGCACCGGCTCTGCAGGAGGCTGCACATGAATCGCGAGACCAAGACCATCCCAAGATTCCTCTGGTTTCGAAGGTGCTGGATCAGAAGTCGGTGCCACCGGAGTGGGTGCCTCGTCCCGAGCGACCGAATCGCCCTCCTCGTCCTTGGGTGGTGGCGGGGGCGGAGGCAAGTCCCCCGCAGCTACCTGCATCCAGTCCGCGATGGATGGAGAGGCACTTTCCCAGTCGTCTCGTAAGCTCAGACTCGGCCGGTGGGAAACCGTCAAGTCGTCCGCGCGCGGGACGAGGACAGGATCATCCGTCAGACTATCCGCCTTAGACGCTACCTCTGCTTCTCCATCTGGCTGAGCGAGCTCCCATGATCTCTCCGTCAATCTAAAGGACAGGGATCCTCGAGATCTCCCCCGCGTAAGTTCTTCCAGATACAGCTGTGTTACCCGCTTCGAGTCCCAGCCGCCTTGGCGGATCAGATTCGGCGGGACATCGTCGCGGTGGGAGCGCTGGTTCCGGTCACCGCTGGAGTCCATGGTGGGCCTGTCATGCAGAGAGTCATTAGATGACGGATACCGATCCAACGTCGACCAGTGTTGTGTGAACTGATTGCTGTCTCGACCGGAAACGAACAGCTCCGGGCTGCTCTGATCGGCCGAAGGTAGAGCGTCCTCGTTCTGGTCGGCGTGACTCTCGGGCAAAGATTGCTGGTCTCGGAAAGAAGAAGACGGCCAGGAGGCCATGCTCCATCTCTTCAGCTGCTCGTCAGCTACACGCTCGTGTTCGTCATTTAGCTCTCCGTTATGGCTATCGCCACTATCTACGGAATCAAAGTAGAAGGTAGACGAAGCAGACGGTTCCAACATAATCTGAATGGACTCCTTGTCGTCGTCATTTGAATCCTCATCGCATTCACTGCTGGAGCTCGATTCTCGTAATTGCATGATGCGACTGAGGATGGTCCGGTGCGAGGCCCCTGGCAGCGGCATGTCCACCTGGGGCTCCGGGTCGAAGTGCGTAGTATCTGTATCATTGGTCTCTGCAGTCACGGCAGAAGACGGCGGTAGAGCTGAATCATCAGCATCTGATCGTGACGTATTCCGGACACCATCTGTTTGGGCATGTTGGCCCAAGGTGGGAGAATCACCGAGGTCCAGGCGAGACTGCTCCTGAACCGCATCCGGCTCCCTCTCCACTGAGGGAGCGGTCGTATCGATGGTCAGGTGTGGCGTTGTTGGAGTGACCTGCTCGTCCGGCGAGATGGGGGTGTCGAGCTCCTTATTATTCTCCGCCGCGGAGTCATCGCGGGGACCATCTGCATTGTTGTCCGATGTCGCCTTCTCAGGGGATGATGCACTGGATGACTCCATCTTGTCACTCTCCTTGGCTGGCTCCGTCTTATTGAGCTCCTTGGCCGACTCCATCTTACGGAGCGACCTGGCTGACTCCATTTTCCGAAGCTCCCCTTCGCGCAGAAGCCTTGATCTCATCTCCTCATCTCTCCTGAACCTGGCCAATCGTCGGCGTTCGGCCGCTTCCTCCTGCTTTTTGGCGTTCTCCTCGAGAGACTTGTTGAACGCTTGCTGGATCTTCTGCCGGCGGGCTGCGAAATCAACATTCCCCAGCTCGGGAAGCCGTCGGGTCGTTGGTCGAGAACTCCGGCTATCGCTGTCGTTATGGCTCGAAGATTGGAAATGAGACACCCGGTCCACCACTTTTGCGCGAGATGCTGTGGTTGTCGCTGAGGACACCGGTTGACGAGGTCTGGAACTGCGCAAGGGCGGCGATTTCTTGGGCGGTGGTGCCGTGATGTATGCTTTAAGGGATCCCTTCTCAGAGAGGTGACCGGGAGTGCCATGGCCACGGCCCGTTTCCCGTCGCGTTGGCGACTTCACAGCGGGAGGGACACGTAGACTTTGGCTAGGACTCGTGGGTGACTTGGGCTTGGGGAGCCGGCTACTGCCTTTTGGGGCAAGAGGTACCTGATTGGCGTTTGCATTGCAGTAGAGGCCCGTGGCCGAATTGGCCCGGGTAGACGGCGAGGAATTCCCCGAATCGGAGGAGGCAGTGCTGAGGCGCTGGGATGAGACTGGAATGCGAGATTTGGAATGTGAGCCGCCCGGGCTGACGGTGGACGAAGGGGCCGGAGGCGAAGCCACTGTCATGTGGGTATTTAAGTCGCTCGTCACGGCGGGCTTACAGGTGGTCCACGAGGCGTCACTCCTTGACCTTCGATGGCTGCGACCGGTATTGATGGCTTCTAGCGACGGCGTATAGCCCAAATACCACGCAGTCGGAGAGGACGGTGACACGGCCGGGTCTCCGTCGGCTCGCGCCTCGAGGAAGAAGGGGTTCGGGCTGGGAACGCTGCTGTCAGAACCTCTACGGCGGACGTGGGACGGTATCCCATATCCCGGGTTGTTCACTGTGGTGTCGATCGTGAGGAGCTCTCCGAACAGCGGCCGCCGTGACTCACTCCCGCCGTCCTTTGCCTGTGCGACCGAGTGACTCGGAGGATCTGGACTCTGATGGGACGCTGAGTCGGCTTGCGACGTCCGGCTCGGGGACGGCTTTCGAGAGGCAGAGGAAGGATCTCGCTCCGATCGACGACTTCCACTTAGGCTTCTGGTTGGACTGACGGCTGTGCGAGGGGTTCGCAATGGCACGGGAGGAACCTCGTCGACCGTCTGGTTGAAACGATCCACCAGCTCCTTGAGCGAGGATTGCCGGATTCGTGCCCCGGTGGACAGAACCGGTTGTGTTCGCGGAGGGGTGTCACCAGAATAGATGCTGGATCCTCCGGAGGCAGAACGAAATTGATAGGGACGGCCCTGCGAACTGCGTGGCCACTGGGATGGATCTGACTGCACCGACGACAGCGTGTACACTCTCCGGGGAGAGGTCACCGTGGTCATCCCGTTCTCGATCTCTGGTGGCAGGATGCTACCTAGGCGCGGAGGAGTCTTGGACGCATCGTCAGCAGTATCTGCGGTATAAGAACGGTAAAAGTCGCGGGGATCGGGAGACGGGGGCTCGTCGGGATGAGTCTGGCGATGATTTGCGACTGAGCTGTCGACGGCGAGTGACTGTTGTGTTTGTTGTTGTTGTTGCTGGTGTAGATGTTGTTGCTGTTGTTGCGGTGACTGCGGGGCGTAAGTGGTTGCCGGGAGGAGGATGGCGGGGGAAGGAGGAGAAGAAGAGGGCACGGTCGAGGCGTGGTCGAGGGGGCTCTCAGCAGCAGCGAGGACGTTCTGGTGGGACTGCTGGGAAGAAGGTCGTTCAGAGAAGGGGTGAGACTGTTGTTGAACAGAGGAAACAGAGCAGCAATCGTCATCGACGTCAGGCATCTTGTCCAAGACAGAGACGGCCGGCCGAGCTCAGGTCGGCTCGCCAGGCCAGGGCGGGATGGCAGGTTCCACCACGGCAGAGGTCAGACGGGATGTCGATGCGTTGTTCAGCAGCCAGGGCCGCAAGAAACACTCCCCAGGGGGAGGCAAAAGGGAGAGCGAGGTGTCGCAGATTGGTCAAGTTTGGCTACCAGGCGGGCATGACGTTGGCGCCTGGGTTGACCGGCATATTCGAAGCTAGCTCGCCAGCTCCGAAGCACAGCAATCGGCCACCCACGCCTGACGTCGTACTGGTAGTCGACTAGGCTTTCGGGACGTCCGCAGAGACGCGCTATGCCTGACTATTCTCGTCAGAGTGTTTCTTCTGGGGGAGGCAGAGGGCGAGCCTGAGGAAACACCAGCAGCGGGCACGGCGGGCGATAGGGTTCTGGGGCTGGGGTCGATAGGCGATACGGCGATACGTCGACACGGCTAATAGACGTGGTGCTCTGGATTCCGTTTTGTCCCACGGCAAGCTTCTTTGTCGAGGCGGTTGGCAGGCGGTGGGCGAGAGCGGTTCTGGCTGTGGCCGGAACAGCAGCCCGTTGGACAGCGACGCAGCCTGGCAGCGAGCGAGCGACGTGGTAGGCGGGTTGATAGATCGCACGCTGTCGCTGCTGAGTTGGCGTGGCCAGCGACTAGCTAACTAGTGACGCAGCGACATTAGCCCATCGGGGATTTGGTAAATTGCGGATTCCTCACAGAGATAAGAGCGGTGGAGCAGCAACGGCCTGAGGCAGGAAGATTCTGGCCTTGCGGGCAGCAGCCAATCCGCGTTCGAGGCTGCCCCAGGTGAAGGAATCGAAGATTCTGCAGCGTGGACACTAATTAGCACCTGGCTATTTTTTATTGCTATTTTTTATTCTCTCAACGAGAAAAAAAATTCAGCAGAAAATTCGGTGTGGTGCGTAGTTCTGTCGAGAGAAGGCTGGGCACTCCTAGCGCGCCCACTGTCTAGAGATCGCCGTGCTGGGATAAAAATAACACATCACCCGCAGATTGCGATGAGATGGATGGCTATCGCAGCGACTCTTCAGTCTTCAAAGGCACAAGTGGGGATGCTAAGCTCGATCTGCGATGATCCTCTGACGGGAGGAGTTTCGCACCATTCTAAGCACTGACCATGATCCAGAGATGGTGCACCAGACAAGAGACTGGTCAAGAAAAAAGATCTTCAAGGAACCAGCTACTAACTAGTACAGAGGACGGACAGCAGATGGATGGCCCGTGGCTTACTCCGTAGATCTATGGACGAGATAGGTTTGTAGACCAAGATAGCGTTTCTGATATATACCAGAGTCCATCAGTTCTTTTCTCTGTAAAATCTTTTTTTTTATCGAGCCAGCATTCCGGAATGGATTCCGGGACGCTGTTTCAAATCACCGCTTCCGTATAGTCAATAGTTCACCATTGCTTTTTTCCCGTCTGATCCGTCAGCGACACGGCTGTCGCCACCATCCTATGTGTCAGCTGCATACAATCCTTTAGACGATGCTATTCCTCTGAGAAAATTAAAAATCTCTGACTCCAAACGTTAGCCCCTGCATCCGACGCCATTCTCCACCCAACAGTGATCCAGAATGGGGCCGGATGGCTCCAACAAGCCACATGGAGTGCGGTTCCTGGCGTAACTCAGATCATGTGTCATCATGACGTCCTCTGAACCCCCGTTCCTGGGAAGTTCCTGAATGTTCCCAGGAACTAACTCAAAGCCAAATGTGGCTGCCATGAGTCCATGACGCAGGGTCCCGCGGACGTCCCGCGCGGAAGGATTTCCCATTTGGACTCCTCGAGGCTGTGTGCATCAAGACTTGCGTTAATCTCTCGGTCTCTCGCTTTCGATGTAGACGCACAGGACCCGGACAGCTGGGACTGGACTTCACAGCAAAGTGAATAAGCATGGAGAATGAGATCTGAAGAGACGATGCGGAGGATGGAGTACGGAGTAGAGTACTTAGCTTCGGAACGCCTTCCCGTGTCTGTGCGCCGGAGTCGTCGCGTAAATTGGAATTGTAATTCGGCCATCACATTAATAATATGAATATAATAGTGATATTGTCATGATGACGTGAACCATTGGAAATGAACGGATGGCTGGATTGCGACCCTGGTGATGTGTTTGCTGAGCGTTGGTGTCTTTGATGGTTGCCATTGCCGACGCGTGCGCGACTCCAGACGCGTCCCGCAAGCACCACGCGAATCGAGATCCTTGTTGACTGCACTTCCCAGACAATTCAATTGCACTGTCCAGTCACTCTGGCAACTGCTGCAAGCTGGTCTGGCTACTTCTTTTCCTCCACGCCTAACCATGGCGTTTTTCACTCCACCCCAGGCTGACCCTTGACCAAGGTTCGCGATGGGGAAGAAACGAAAGCGTCCTGGCAAGGAGAACCGTGGTCTGCCGCAGTCTCCTGCCAAACGACCCAGGATTCACGGTGCTCCCTCAGCTCCAGGGTGCTACCAGCATCCAGTCTTGTCGCGATACTATCCACGCGTGGTGACCCTCCGGCAGTATCTGCTCGAGCAGCTGCCCTCTTCTTCCAGGGCCCGACGCCGGAGGATCGCGTCGCTGGGACGCCAGCAGACCAGCACCGTCAAGGCGCCATTCACTGACGAGGGTCTAGACAAGCAGGACCATGGCAGCGACGACAACAGCGCCCTCGTCGACCTGCTGGACTCGACCCTGGTAGGCGTCTTGAAGGAACCCAATCAGGATATTACCCAGGCCCGACAACGGGACTTTGCAGCATTCACGCAGTCTGAAGAACGATCCCTCCTCTGCACAGATACTGGACCAACCTCCCTGCAAGATGATGTAGGTATCTCTTGTTGTATCTAGAGATGTATCCTGGCAGATATGTAAAGATGAGATGATCGCTCCCACCAATGTCTAGCCAAATAATAGCTTTATCCATTCTCATTCTTGTTGCGAAACAACTAGCTGATCAGACCAGATAGTGGACTTTGTCATAGCAACCCTGTTCAACCGCACTGGTCTGTCCTATCAGAAGCCTCAACATCTCCTGGCTCATGGCTTTCAACGCGCGACGGCCCGACAGTTCATGGACCGCAATATCGGAGCCATGGCCTGCAGCATCCCCGGAGTAGTGTTCCAATACCCCAATCACCATGTCTCCACCCTCAAAAAGGCTCCGTGGACCGATGTTCTGGCTTTGCTGGGGAAGAGCAGAGATGAGATTATGATCAGGTTGCTGTTGGACTGTGGCATTTTCTGTTGTCTGGACCGTAATAAGGGCACGTACTATCAACTCAGCGGTACGTGTAGAATGAAGACCAAGGCAAACCACGTTATGCTGAGAAATCGTTCCAGGAATTCCTCTCTCAGAACTAGAGCCAGTGGATAAGTCACCGCCGACTCCTGAAAGCAACCAGAAGGTATCGACATCAGATGGCAAAGCCTCTACCAAACCCAAGTCCAATAAAGTCGATAAGTCTACAGATGTCCTGCATAAGCCAAATAGCATCATCTTCGTCAGGCGGCGTATGTTGTATGCTCGTCCAGTGTTGAATGCGCGAGGAGAGGTCCGTTTCGGATTGAGGCATATTCGTACGTAACTTCAGGGTTTTCTTCATCGCACCAACGAGTGCTTGTGGCTAACAGGAGCAGACGTGCTGAACCGCTTCCCGTCGTCGACGGATCTATCGCATTCAGTGCATGTCATGAAGTACATATTCCCGCGGCAATTTGGCTTGCATAATGTCTTCACGTCTGCAGTAGACAGTCGTGAAACGACCCAGCCATTCAAGGACTACACCCTGCGAGAGGATGAAATCGCTCGTAGGGAAAGTACCAAACTGCCGAAACGACTTCGCGGCAAGGCATTGGCACTGGTCCAGCAGCTGCAAAAACGTCACCAACGCTGTTCTTACACTGAGCTACTGAGGCATTACTGTCCGATCGAAGTGAGTTGCGTGATGACTGCGTTTGTTTTCTTTGACTAACCGCTGGTAGGAAATCGGACCTGCCAGACTAGGCCCTGAACCATCGCAAACAGAGCTATCGAGCTTGATGGGCTCTGATTCAGAGCAGTTTATTACCCAGCTCAGACTTTCTGGCCATTCAGGCCCTCAGGCACAATCTCAACAGACCGAGGCCACCGCGGTGCCATCTAGCATGAAGCCCTGCTTGACAGATTATGCCACCCCAGCTTCCTCCGTTTCTGCTTTTTGCCGCGCAGTCCTGCGAAGGCTGATCCCCCGCGCCTTTTTCGGCATTGGCGAGGGAGGGGAGTCGAATCAGCGGATCGTGATGAAGCATGTCGACCGATTTGTGCGGATGAGCAGATACGAGAGTCTCAGCCTGCACGAGGTCTGTAAGGGACTGAAGGTTCGCTCTCCAATCTGCCATTCATGAACGTGAATGGAGTGCTAAGCTAGCTAGGTTACCTGCATTCCGTGGCTGGAGTCTCCAAATGCACCATCCCAGGCTACCAGTCCAGACGGCCATAAGCTTTCGTTGTCTGACTTGCGCAAGCGCATCGAGCTTCTTCATGAGTTCATCTACTATATCTTTGACTCTCTCCTCATCCCGCTCATCCGCTCCAATTTTTACGTGACTGAGTCACAAGTCCACCGCAACCGCCTGTTCTACTTTCGACACGATGTGTGGCGTCAACTGACGGAAAAGCCGCTGGCCGACATCAAGTCGTCCCTCTTCGAAGAGATCAAACGCGACAAAGCCCACCGCATTTTGGCTCGGAGGTCTCTGGGCTACAGCCCTTTGAGGCTGCTGCCCAAAGCTTCTGGCGCACGCCCGATCATCAATCTCCGGAGACGGGTGATGAAAACCTCTGCGGGCAGCTTTCAGGGTTGCAAGAAAGCCTTCCTGGGTCCCAGCATCAATTCCTTGGTGACGCCCGTCTTTAATATGCTCAGCTACGAGAAGACGCGAAAGCCGGAGCTGCTGGGGTCATCCATGCAGTCAGTGAGCGACATGTATCCTCGGCTGAAGGCATTCAAGGAGAGGATTATTAATCGCGCGGGGGGAGGTAAACCGCAGCTGTACTTTGTCAAGTTGGATATTCAGTCCTGCTTCGACACGATTCCGCAGCCCAGGTTACTGGCGCTGATCGAGAAGGTCGTCTGTGAAGCCACTTACCACGTCACGAAGCATGTTGAGGTCCGGCCGCCAGATGGATACAATAACAGTCTGTGGCCAGGGGAGGAGAGTCGACATGGCAAACCGATCCGGAAGTTTGTGAGCAAGGCAGTGGCCGCAAACGACATCCTCAGCACGCCTGACGCGGCCAGCGGAAAGCGAAATACGGTGTTTGTCGACACGGCCGTAGCAAAGAGACACGACGCAGACGACCTGCTGGATCTGCTAGAGGAGCATGTGCGCAACAACCTGGTGAAGATTGGGAAGAAATATTTCCGACAGCGCAACGGGATTCCGCAGGGTTCAGTGCTGTCGGCGCTGCTGTGCAATTTCTTCTACGGGGAGCTGGAGCGAGAAGTGCTGGGGTTTCTGAGCTGCGACGATGCTCTGCTGCTGAGGCTGGTCGACGACTTTCTGCTGATCACGTCGCGGGCGGACCTGGCACGGCGGTTCCTGCAGGCGATGATGGACGGACAGCCGGCGTACGGGATCTCGGTCAACGCGAGCAAAAGCCTGGTCAACTTTGAAGTGACGGTGAACGGGACGAAGATCCCGCGCCTGCTGGGGTCATGGTTTCCGTACTGCGGGAATCTGATCGAGACGCACACTCTGGACATTCGCAAGGACCGCGAGCACGGCAACGGCGCGGCGCAGGTGTCTGACATGCTGACGGTGGAGGCGAACCGCGTGCCTGGACGGACATTCCACCGGAAGGTGCTTGCGTCGTTCCGACTGCAGACGCATGCCATGTTCCTGGACACGGAGCACAACGCGACGAGGGTGGTGTTGTCGGGGATCTATACGAACTTCGTCGAGACAGCAATCAAGATGTACCGATATATCAAGACGCTGCGGCCGCGGGCTCGTCCGTCGCCGGGGCTCGTGGTAAGCACGATCCGCGACCTGATCCAGTTCGCGACGAACCTGATCCAGTCGAAGCGGCGAGAGAAGTCGGCGGCAGAAATACGGTTCCAGTGCACGATCACTCCTCCGCAGATCCATTACCTCGGCGCGGGAGCGTTCTGCCACATCCTGGCACGGAAGCAGACGCAGTTTGGAGCAGTTTTGCGGTTTCTGGCGCAGCTGCAGAGGGCGAACAGGCCCAGGACGGACCGCGAGGCGCTGCTGTTGAAGAGGGTGATGCGCGAGGGGAATGCTGTTTTTGATGGGTGGAGGTACTAGCAGGGAAAATACAGGTCGAACATAAATATTCTGTAGGTAGGCAGTTGATATGTAGTCGAATTGACTGAAGTCTGCAATCAACACATGCATTTGCAATACTGATGAATACAGTAACACCGTCATCAGATATATTCAGACCTGTTTGCTACTTACGTATATACATCACACAATCAACATTCACAGTAGATACTGGCATCCTACTGCTCATCCATCATAAACTCCTGCAACCACTTATTCCTCCCGATCCAGCTACGGATCCTCTTCCCAAACACCCAGAGCGGGATGGTCAATGCACAGACAAACAGGAACAACGCGCCCAGAACACTAAACACAAGCAAAACGCCGTCGCGGGCGAGCCAGTCATTGACAAAATACGTCAGGCCGAAAGTGAGCAGATTGCGGGCATTGATAGCGACAAAGATCTCCTCGCTGAGGGCCGGGTAGCAATCAACGACATAGCCAAAGACGCAAGTGGAGACGAAAGCCATGGACATATTGGCCAGGCCGAAAGTGAGCACAGGGCCAGACCAATGCGTCTGGAAGTGCACCGAGGCGCCAAAGCCAAAGAACCCGATAGCGCCAAGCACAGCAACGAAGATCATGAGCGGCAGCCGGAACTCAGGCTCATAGATCCCCCTATTCCTTTTCGTCAAGCTCACGCAGATCCAGTCGTTCAGTGGCCCCGAGATCACCTCCCCGATTATGGTCAGGACGAACGGGCTCAGACTGATCAGCCCCGTCTGCGCGATGGAGAAGTTGTACGGCGGCGCGACGAAAATCACCCCGTTGACGACGGAGAAGACGACGATCCAGGTGATGGTTGTCCCGAAGCAGAGGAAGCCCCAGAAGACGGCCGGGTAGAAGAAGAGGACGAAAGGGCGAGCGAAGATTTTGAATGCTGAGGCGTTTGTGTACCGGCCGGTGAAGATGCGGAGGGTCGAGATATAGGACGGAGGAGATGTTGACTGGGCGTTTTCGACTTGGAAAGATTCTGGTTTCTCCGGGTCTGAATTCTGAGAATGTTTCTCGTCTTCTTCTTGCCTAGGGATGTACGGCGGCGCACGTCGATACGTCGTCTCCGGGACAAGAAAAACGATACCAAACAAGAAGACACCAAACAAGATCGCGCAGACCCAGAACGTCCAGCGAAACCCCAGATTCTGGATGATATATCCCGAGATAAACGACCCACCGGCGATACCGCACATGAGGAACAGATTCCAAGCCGCAATGCGAGTACCGCGTTCATGAACGAAATACAGATCCTTGATCGTCGCAAGGACGAGGATCTCATACGGCGCCATACCGATACCGCCGATGATACGACTAGCCAGGAAAGACGAGTAGGACCTCGACGCCGCAGCCCAGACGCTGCTCGCGAAAAGACACGCGATGGCGACGATATAGATGGGCCGTTTCCCGTAGAGTTTCGCCAGCGGATTGATGATGAACACGCACAGGCCCAGCGTCAGGATCAACCACGCCGTTGCCTGCGAGAGCGTGTTGACGCTGATGGCCAACTCGGCGGAGATCTGGACGAAGCCGGGCGAGAGCATGGGACCGAAAGCGCCGACGACGCCGGCCGAGAGGCCGATGATGAGTAGGACGAGGTCTTTCCTCCATTGCGGCCACTGCGTTGTCAACACAGTCAGCACACATACACAGTATTATACCCTGACAGGTCTGGTCTGGGTTTGTACATTCAGCGGATCACCCGGATCGTCCGATGGCTGCGGCACGAGCACGATATGTGCAAACTTCCCCCGGCCATGCTTGAGCAGCTCCCGGGGAATATGCGCGTATTCGGGCGGAAGGTCGATGCTGTCTTTGTCGGCCATGATGGCTGTTGAAGTCAGCATACATACTGTACTGTACAGTACATATAGAGTAGTTGTAGAGGGGAGGGTGGTACACACCCGTGCCCGGCACGAGCTCCATTTTCTTGTCGTCGAGGATGCCGAAGGGCATGGTGGAATATTATCATCAGTCGATGATCGAAGTGACTGGTCAGTCAGTCAGCAGTCAGTCAGTCAATCAGTCAATCTGTGTAGTAGGTGGAGGAGGAGTATTGATATGATTCGCCAGCCCCAATGAAGGAACATCAGGACTATGATTAGGTATTCTGCATATGCTGTGCAACCTCATGCGAAGGGACACGAGTCAGTCAGTCGTACTAACCAGTCGAGTAACCAAATATACGTCCTGACAATCGAGATCTGGGCGATAGTGGTAGGTAGGTAGATATATAGCTAGATATATACCTATTTTGAATTGGCCAGTCAACCAGAAGAATAACAACACAATGCTAGACCAGAGGAAGAGATAATAGGTAATAATTAATAATATGAGGCAGCGGTGCAGGGGATACAGCTCTAATAGCAGAACGGGGATCCGCTAGCTCCTAGCTGTTTCTGTATGTACAGTAAGTATAGAGTATCAGAGTATCGGCAGAGGAGGTACCTGTACGTATCAGAACCATCCACTTGGATAATGATAATTATTTATAATATATATCCCTGTTTAAAAAAAAAAGAAAGAAAAAAAAAGGAATAATTCTAGATACGCCCCATCCATGCCCCATAAGAGTGATTAATACAATACCTACTTTCCTCCATCCTAGATACCGCACTGTACTGTACTGTGCTGTACTGTACATACAGTACAGTCCATACTCCATATTCCGTGAAGAAACCGGGATAACCCCATCCCATCCCTGATGGACATCCATGGCATAGCTTCGAGGTAGTAAGAGAAGTAATACTGCGTATGCAGATATGCGATTATCGGAAATTGCCTGTAATACTGCTATGAGTAATCTCCATGCGGGGCCCCGGACTTAAGCAGGTGGAGTGGAGCCGTTCTGTTTCGCCGCGGGGAAACTGGGGAACGGAATTGGGGAATGGATTATGGGACTGGGGTTGACCTGCCTGTTTGGGTAGGGAGCTCCATCTGCGTATCATCCATACAGTAAGTGCGGAGTATTATTACTGTGGGATATGAATGCATGGAATATGGAGGACAGGTTAGTATAGGTGTGGTAACAGTGCTGCATTTTAGTTCTCTTTTATTGCTCTTTTATTGCTGGTTGATGTTCTTTCGTTTATTATTTTTGTTTTTTGTTGGTCTCTCTCTCTCTTTCTTTTTTTTTTTGAATTTGTGATTGCTGTTGGTTTTACATGGACTTTTCTCTGCCAGGTTATTGTTATTATTGCCGGTAATTTTATTGTGTTGATGGTTTTCTTTTGTTTCTGATTTTGTAGAGACTCTGATGACTACGTGTCTCTTCTATCTCTTCTATTGTAGATTGAGACTTGTTTACCAATTGCTTCGTAGAATGGATTCATATATTCTTCATCTTCTGTCTCATTATATTTATTGTATTGAATGGAGGAAATTATGGACGGAATGGGTTATATGTAGATGTGTATATTCTATAGAAGAACTATTCAATCAATCTAGAATGCTGGATACTGTCATAACTTGGCCTGCTTCTGTTTCTCCTGCTCCTGCTCCCTCCGCAGCTCCTCCACCACCTTATCATACACCTCATATGCATGCTTCTCCGAGTCGAAATCCAGCAGCCACCGCTCGCGCTTCAGCTTCAGCACTTCCGGATTGCGCTTGACCTCCTCCCAATCCGCCTTGTGCCATCGATCGCGCGTCGTCTCGCCCGTCTTCTGCGCCTTGAGCACGCGCTCGTATCGAATCCGCTCGTACGCCCGCAGCGCCTCCTGCACCTTCGCCCGGCCGCTCTTCTCCAGACACACGGCCAGCGTCACCCCGTCCTCCATCGACTGGCTCGCGCCCTGGATCGACGTCGGCAGGAACGGGTGCGCTGCGTCCCCGATCAGCGCGATCCGCTGCTTCGGACTGATCCACGTCGGCAGCGGGTCGCGGTAGACCAGCTTCCAGTCGACCAGATACTCTGGCGGTGTTGCTTTGACGATCTCCTGCACGACTGGGTCCCAGCCTTCGACCACCTTCAGGCAGTCTTCAATCCGGCCGGGCGTGGACCACGAGTCTTCGATGTCGGCTTCGTCCTGCCAGAGTCAGTATGGGAGTGCGAGATATTTGTATGATTCGACTACCTTATGCGTGCACACCCAGCTAAAGTCCTTGCCATTCTTCAGCGACGCAGCCAGAAAATGCACATCCGGCCCAATCCACGCCCAGTGCGAGTCGCCGTTCTTCCACAGATGGTCCGTCAGCGGACTCTTCAGCCGCGAGGAATCGAACCAGGTGCGATACACCGCGTAGCCGCTCGACTTGGGCTTGTCGTCGTAGCCCAGCACGATCTTGCGACCCGTGGACCGGACGCCCTCAGCTGCGAAGACCACGTCGGCGGTGAAGGTGACCCTCTCGCCATTCTCCTTCTGCGCGACAACGCCCGCCTCGGTGTCGGTCTCGAAGTAGTCGACGACGCGATGGCCGAGCCGGATATCGATGCCCCTCGCGCGCGCATGGTTGAAGACAATCTCGTGGATTTCGCCGCGGTGGCCGTTGAACTTCTTGCCCCAGGGCTCCTCGTCGTGCCAGTACTGCGTGAACAGGTACTCGCCGCGGTACGACACGAAGTGCACGCCGTCCGACTTGTGGCAAATGGGGTCCAGCTGCGCCTCGACGCCCTCCCATTTCTGGAAGATGCGCCCGCTGTTGGGGCCGAACGAGATGATGTCGCCCAGGATCTTCAGCTCGGGGAAGGCCTCCAGGAGCAGCACGTCGTGGCCCTTGCGATCGCATTCGATGGCGGCGGTCAGTCCGGCAAAGCCGGCGCCGACGATGAGCACTTTGATGCCAGTGGGTGGTTTGCGGAAGAATTCTGGCATGGCAACAGCAGGGAATTGTATGGACAGTCTCTATAGAAAGGAGAAGTCTGCCGGAAGTATCGCCAGGCCCAGCCATTTGTACTCCCGCAGCTGCTAGCTAATCCATACAGCTAATTAACTTATTCCGGGGAAATAGTGCATCAACTAGTTCATGCACCGGCATTACCCCACGGTGAGTGGGGGATGCATCAGAGAGAGACAAAGAAGAGATGAATGGCTGTGGGGCCTGTGGAGTGTCAATGTTGTACAGAGTATACGAGTGTCTTGTATACAAGTGAGCTGTGATAACTGTCTCTCCTTCACTCAGGATACATCTCCCAAAATACATCTTGCCGGCAGAGTAATGGCCACCACCATGACTCCGTTTCAACTGTCTATATTCCAGTGGTATGCAGTGCCTGGAATACTCCTGCTGGCCCTCGTCGGCCTGCTGCTCCACGACTACATCCTCGTCCTGCGCATGCCCCCCGGCCCCCGGCCGCTGCCCTTCATCGGCAACAAGCTGATCATCCCCAAGTCAAAGCCCTGGATCCAGTTCGAAAAATGGTCAAAGATCTACGGGCCCATCTTCACCCTCTGGATCGGCCGCCGGCCAACGGTCGTCATCTCCGACCCGCACGTCGCCGTCGACCTGCTCGAGAAGCGCAGCAACAAGTACAGCTCGCGCCCGCGCTTCGTCGTCATGGGCGAGCTGTACTGGGACAACGCCAGCATCCTGGTGCAGCCCTACGGCAAGCAGTGGCAGGTCCGGCGTCGCCTGCTGCACCAGGCCCTCAACCCGTCTGCTCTGCGTCTGTACAAGCCCGTGCAGCAGGCCGAGGCCTCGCGGCTGTGCCATGCGCTGCTCGCCCAGCCGGAGCGCTACGAGGCCCTGATCGACCGCTTCACGTCGAGCGTCGTCTTCAGCATCGCCTACGGCCACCGCGTCGACTCCATGGACGCGAAGATCATCCGCCAGCGCCTCGAGTTCATGCAGTACGCCGCCTCGCTCAATGTGCCGGGGCGATATCTGGCCGAAAGCCTGCCCTTTCTCAAATACGTGCCCAACTTCCTCGCCCCGTGGAAGGCCGAAGTGCAGCGTCGAGGCCGTGTCGAGGCCGCCGTCAACATGGCGCTCGTGCGCCAGGTGCAGGACGAGATGAAGACGAGGAAGAACGTGCCCGACTCGCTGACCAAGCTGCTGCTGCAAGCCCGCGAGAACGACCCCGAGGCGTTTGCCGTGCTGAGCGAGCGCGACTTTTCCTTTGTGCCAGCCTCGCTGTTCGGCGCTGGCAGCGATACGACAGCCAGCACGCTGTGCAGCGGCATCTTGATGCTCGTCACGCATCCTGTCACCCTGCAGGCGGCGCACGCCGAGCTGGACGCCGTCATCGGGCCTGATCGATCTCCAACCTTCGACGACGAGAAGAACCTGCCGTACATCAACGCCCTGTGCAGCGAGATCCTGCGCATCCGGCCCGTGGCCGTGCTGGGGGGCACGCCGCACGCCAACTCCGAGGCGGACGTGTATCAAGGATACTACATTCCCAGGGGCACGACCATCCTGGCCAACTCGTGGGCCATCAACCTGAACGAGCGCTACTACCCGAATCCGCACCACTTCAACCCTCTGCGCTTCCTGCCGGACGACGTGTCGCCGGCGTCGCTTTCCTATCTGCCTAAGGACTACGTGGCGACGACGCCGCAGGAGAAAGGCGAGGCTCAGCACCCGTCCAAAGACGGCCAGAGCTCGTTCGGCTGGGGGAGACGCATCTGTCCGGGAGCAGGTCTCGCGCGGAATTCCCTCTTCATCGCCGTCGCCAAGCTGCTCTGGGCGTTTGACATCCTGCCTGTACGTGAGCCGGACGGGTCGGTGCGGCAGTACGACACGTTTGCGTATACCGAGGGCTTCAATGTGCGGCCTATGCCGTTCGAGTGTGTGATTCGCGTGCGCAGCGAGCGTCATCGGGCGGTGCTGGAGAGGGAGATGGCTGAGGCGGAGAGGGTGTTGGAAAAGTTTACGGCGTTTGAGTAGCTGCTTGACGATCTGGACTGGGTATAGACGCATGGGAAGGTACAGGTACTATACAGATTGCATGGAATCAAATCTATCTCTTTTTCTCTTGATGAGAGTATCACATCTGCTACTGCAAGTTACATGCCTTGCCTTTATAGTATAGAAATATCAGGATTAAGTCTTCTGTCCTCGCCCTTTATAAGATGTAAATATTCGTACCTTATAGACAAGCTTAAAGAAACGGAAGGAACGGAGCATATCCTCATACAGCAGTTGTCCTGACGCATAATGTCACAGTTAAGGACTTGAAGAAGCACCCTGAAGTAGGAGGAATAGGTAGGTTTTTTTTTTAGGGGCAAGAAAAAAAAACGCAACTTGACATCTTGTCCTGTACCTAGACTATGGTAAGAAAGTACTACTAAATTGATAACATATATAATGTACTACAAGAATTTAAAAAATAAAAAAAACCAGCAAGAATACGTCTTCTGCTGCGCACTTTTTATAACATAACGGCTAGGCTGTAATAAATATTTTTGTAAGATAAATCTCTAAAATAGACTAGACAAGACAAGATAAGTAAAAACAAAGGTAATTAATTAAAGTATATACTGATAAGATAGTTATTTATCCCTTGTTATTAATATTGTTTGTTATAGTTAAGGGCATTAAAGTGATTTTAGAAGAAGCTGAATTAGGAGGGATAGGTAAGTAAAAGAAAACGCGCAAAAAGAAAAGCAATTCAGGATTTTATTTGAACAAGAAAGCCTTCCTGTCATTTACCAGCCTTAAATAAATAATACCTTTCTCTGCAGGGTAGGTAATCCATTCCAATCTGTTTAAATCAAAGTACAGCGAAGCTAGGACATCTAGATACAGATATTAACATAGAATCTGCCATAAGTCAAGATAACAGCACTGTATGTATGTCACATCAACATTCTTTCACTTTGTATATAGGTACAGTACAACTGCAGATGCTACAGCCCAGCATCCTCCTTGATCAAATCCGCCGCCCTCTCCGCCACCGCATACACACTCGTCTGGATCGTCCCCCTAGGGATCAGCGGCAGGACACTCGAGTCGACGACGCGCAGCCGTCTCGCGCCGTAGACACGCAACCGCTCGTCGACCACGCCGCCCTGGCCGCGCGGCAGCATGGGACACGAACAGGCGGGATGGTTGTTGGACAGCGCCGTCGTGCGGACGTATTCCTTTGCGCTCTCGACGTCCTTCACCTGGAACACAGACTCGTGGTTCCGCTGTCCGTCCTTCTTGATGAACGATGCCAATGGCTGCGTCTCTGCCACTTTCTGCATGAACAGCAGCTGCCGCGCCATGACTTCCACGTCTGCCGGGTGCGAGAAGTACCGCGGGTCGATGCGCGGCGAGACCGATGGGTCTGCAGACGTGATATGCACCGATCCCCGCGAGAAGGGCAGCAGGAGGGAGATGCCCAGGCTGAGGAAGTTGCCTGGCAGAAGCTCCTGCGTGAAGTCCGCGGCCGGGGAGTGCAGGTTGACTTGGGCTGCGAACATGAAGACGGAACCGCTGGGCTCGCGAGGCAGGGTGTAAATATCACGGAGGACGGCATGCTGATCCTTGTATTTCTCGTAATCGCCATCGACATCGCCGTCCTTGCTGTCCAGGACGTTTCCTAGCTCGCTGGACTCGGGAACGGCCACCAGGGCGTACGACCCCAACCCTCCCGAGCAGAGCGGCCCCGTGCGATGCTCCTGGTACATCTGCGTCACGGCCTGGACCATCTCTGGCTCCTGGCGCAGGAGCGGATCGCCCGTCATGACGCCCTCGTTCACCTCGTAGCTGATGCCCGTCATCAGGTGGTCCTGCAGGTTCTCGCCGACGCCCGGGTTGTCAATCACCGGCGTGATGCCGAGCGAGGAGAGGAGGCTCGCGTTGCCGATGCCAGACAGCTCGAGGATCTTGGGCGACTGCAGCGCGCCTGCAGCCAGGATCACCTCCTTCGTCGCCGTGACATCGTGGATCGATCCATCGGCGAGCTGGACTCTCACTCCGGTGGCCACCACCTCGTCGTCTTGTTTCTCCAAAAGAATCCGATGGACCAGGGCGCCCGTGACGACGGAGAGGTTCGGTCTGCTGCTCGCGGGGAGGAAGTATGCATTGGCCGCATAGCTGCGGGCCTTGGTGACGGGGTCCACACTGATCGGATTGCTGAAGGCGCCGGACGTGCTGCCGGAGAAGGGATCGTTGGTGAGCGCATGCCCGAGTTGCTGGAACGTCCGCGTCCAGGCGTGGGAGAGCGGATCCTGCACCATGCCCTGGAACGAGGCCTGCACCGGCCCCTGCGACGGCTCGGGCAGCCAGTGCAGGTCCAGATGCTCTGCCAGGTCCTTGTCCGGGGCGTTCAGCGTGTGGAATCGCCGGTAGTACGGCCGCAGCGTCTCCCAGTCCCAGCCGGAATTCCCCAGCTTGGCCCAGGCATCGACACCAGCTTTGGCCGCGGGGATGAAGACTTCTGCGTTGATGGCGCTCGAACCGCCGAGCACTTTGCCCTGAGGCTGTCGAATGACGCGTCCTTTCAAGCCGGGCTGTTGCGAGCAGTCAGGATGATGTGCAGAGAAAGAGTTGAATTTGAAGCAGACGACCAACCTGAGGCACCGTCGCAAAGTTCCAGTCGAGCTCCGACCCGCGCAGGGCATTCCACCCGGCGGGGATGTTGACGCGGGGGTCTTCCAGCCCGTTTGCTCCGGCCTCGAGGACCAGCACCGAGACGTTGGGATTCTCCGTGAGACGGTTGGCGACGACCAGGCCGGCAGTGCCGCCGCCGATGATGACAAAGTCGTGCTGCTTTGCGGGGAGCTGGGTGGACGTGGAGGAGGCCATGATGAAGTCAGTCAGTGTTGGAGACAGTCGAGTGAGATGGCAGAGTAGAGATCGGGGTTGTCGTAGTCTTATTTATACAGACGTCGCCATGGAGGGGTTGAATATTTTATCTTCCAGACAGGGGTTGTAAGACTCTATTCTTTCATCATTCGTTCCCCTCTTGCTATTCCCTGTCTTGTTGCTTGTTACCCCTGATTATTCTCCTCTCTCGACACCAACATTGGGCCATTCGCATATCGACCAGCCCCCACGAGGGGCTGTCCGGGCTGACAGCTGCAAGGGCCAGCAGTTTCTCTGTGATAATCCGCCCCGCCGGCTCTCGGTGTGCTTTTCGTGAGCTTTGGCCGGTGTTTATCGCATGCTCGCTAATCAGCGCCGATCCCTGCGCTAGCCACCTGCTGTCCTTGCAACCCTGCAAACTTCGATCTGCAGTCTCGTTGTGGCCCCCACGTTGACTCTGCAGAGAGGAGACAGCCATGGCCGACTTAACCATCTTATTACTGTCCTCGTCTTCTCGACGTTAGATCGTGAATCGTCAACAGTCAACATCTCTGCTATCTTGAATTGTTGCTGCGTTGCTGTCGAGGTGGCGCTCTTGGGAGAAAATGTCAGCTTCTTCACCACCGACTTCACTGCCACCGGCACCCCCAAACACCATCGCTCCCAAAGGAGTCACTCTCATAAGCGTCACCGTCATCTTCTTCTTTCTGGCCACCATCTTCGTGGGATTACGCATTCAGGCACGATGGCTGCAGCGGGTGAAGCTGACGCTGAATGACTACATGTGCTTTGCCGCGCTGGTAAGAAACAGTCCTGCTTCTGTGTTGGTTTTACATGCATGCTAAGTGTCTATGGTATAGCTCTTCCAGGCTGGCGAAGGAACTGTTATTATAGTGGGCACCGTCCTGGGCGGAGTTGGCTATCATACCACACAGCTTTCTATGAAGCAGCTGACGAGACTCGCAAAGGTCCGCTTGTCGTGCCCTTATAATTATTGATTTACTTCATCGGTCTGACTGATTGCAGGCATACGTCGCTGCTGAACCCCTCTGGATATCCGCCAACTGCTGCGCCAAAATCTCCATGCTGCACCTCTACATCACGCTCTTCTAGACCAGGGAATTCCGCCTGGTCGCCTACGCCGTGATCGGGCTCGTGGCGGCGTACTGGTTCGCCACCATCGTGCGCATGTTCTGCCTGTGCACCCCGTTCCAATATCTCTGGGACAAGACGATTCCGGGCACCTGCATCAACCTCCCCGCGGCGTGGCTCAGCGTGTCGATCATCAACATGATTCTAGACCTGATCATCATCGCCCTGCCGATGCCCATGCTGTGGAACTTACGCATGCCCGTGAGCAAGAAGATAGCCGTGTCAGGCATCTTCTCACTGGGCTTCATCATCTGCATCATCACCATCATCCGCATCGTCGCCGTGCGGCAGCTCGACGTCAACGACCTGTCCTACACCGTGGTGGGCGACGGCATCTGGAGCGCTGTCGAGCCCTGCCTCAGCATCATCAACGCGTGTCTCCCCGTGCTGAAGCCCGTGCTGGTCAAGATCTTCGGCTCGCACCTCTTCACGACCAGCCGCAAGACGACCAACAACACGGGCAGCTCGAGCGAGCCCCGCATCGGCCTGCGCATGATGTCGCCGCGGAAACCGACGCCCACCGTGGATGCCAGCAAGCTGGAGACGGGGTCTGATGACGCCCTCGTTTCGAGACAGGATGGCTATGCGAGGGAGGATGGCTACATGCGCATGCCGAATCATCCGGGCGAGATTCGCGTCACGCAGGATTGGGAATTGTCGACGGATGTGGAACAGCCGAGAAGGGCGGTTGTGCGGTAGTTCGACAGTAAAGTGAGGAATGGACTGTACAGTATATTTGCTATTGCAGGTGTATATTTGCTATGCTATTACAGGCTATGTGCAGGCTATGTGTTCTGAGCATACATGATATCCCGTTCAATTAGTTCAAAGAGAGGAATGTATATTTACAGGCTACGTGTTCTGAACCATTTGTATATACAAATTTCAATCAAGTCTGAGCATGATATTCCATTCAACAGTAAAAAAAAAGAGAGAGAAAGGAATGTCTATTTTGCTATTACGGCTATGTGTGAAGAGCATACTCCGGAGTAAATATCCCAGTCAATCGGTAAAATTGTAAAAAAAAAAAAAGACACTTATACCAACACCAACAAGCTACATCAAGCTACATCGAGCTACATCATCACAGAAAACCTATTATGATGCTATCAAAATCAATCGGTTAGAGTTTGCAATTCTCTGAGCAAAAAAAAAAAGGTTCTTTGTAATTAGTTGAGCTAGGTTTCAACCGAGATGCATTATTGTTGGTTTGTTAGTTCGTTAGGTAGCTTCATCTCTATGCTGGAGTGTTGGAAGTATTCGAAAAAACAATAATGTCCTGCAGACAGGCCGATGCCGGACTGCACATACAGAGTACATACACACTTAATTACTCGACGTAGATGGACAAACACAAATCCGGACGACCAAACAGCACTACATGCCCCGTACGGAGATAGTAAGCAACGTGGTCATCGGCAGTGGAAAGCAGTGGAGTACTAATTATCGATTAAAGAGGGGAAGCTGGATCGTCATCATTTGGGGGCCGAATACTACCTACCTACCTGATAAGCTGCCCTGTTCTGTACTAGCGTGTAAACGATGAACAGCGACTATTAAAAATATTGCATGCATGTGCACTGACTAAAAAATGTGGAGGGGAGAGCAGCGTAAATCAAGCGGGTCCCAGTGCAGCATAGAATAGAGGTGTTTAAGAACGCTTAGTTGAGCAATGACAAATCCTCACCCGTAGCCTGATTCGTTTAGTGTGAATTGTACCCTACCTAGGTAGGTAAGTATGTAGCTACCTGATGGATCCTCCTTTGGGGGCCAAAATTAAATATCCACCCTATCAGATAAGCTCCGCCGAGTGGCGTGTACTGTGCAGTCTGTGCTGTACTCCGCACCGATGGAGGATTTTGGAAACGATGAACAACGACTATTAGTTTATTGCATGCGTCGGCTCTGTCTAGTCTAAGAGAGGGGAAGTGGAGGCGCAGATAACGGTGATCTCAATTCTAATTGACAAGCAGATAGTATCATAGTAGATTGATGATCCTTTGCTGCGGAATCAGTCAGTTCAGTTTTTAACTCAACCATGCAGAGTACTATTTTAGCTTCTTTGCTGAAGTCATGCAATAATGTACAGAGTATGTAAGTTAGTTAACCGGGCTTGTATTCGGAGCAGCAACCTAATTTATTCGTTTGGCTTTCGGAGGATCCGCTGCCGTACCAGATATATAGAAATTATAAATAAAATGTGGATTTTCTGTGTTATTTGCCTTGAATGGCTTAGTTTGAGAACAATTCTTCTGACCCCTCCTCTGGGATCGAATAGAATTTCTAGCTGATTGCAAATATTTTAAACTAATTGAAGACTAGGTAGAAGATTGTATTGGTTAGCTTGTAATTGGTATAATCGTTTAGAATCACGTTTAATATTTATGTCAGAATATTCGTAGTAGTAGGGGTAGAAAGTAAGAGAAAATAGTCAAAAATTATTTATTATATTATTAACCCAAGTGTACATCTAAGTAGACACTTTAGCCTATTCTCATGATTTCTGACTAATATCATTAGAAACTGCACTAGTCGGTTATGTACTCGAATGCAAGCCCGTTATGTATGTATGTACGCTCAATCATCCTGCAAGGTAATAACAAGCAGATAACTAGATCATCATTCCTGGCCTGCCAACGGCTCAAACACCAACTTCAACGGCCCCGGATTCGCCGTAAAACAGTCCTTCATCTCCGTCACCACCCGCGACCCGTCATCCCCCTCGGGGAACCGGATCTTGTACCTGGACGCAAACAGCGCGATCATGAAATGCAGCTCTGCCAGCGCCAGGTTCTTGCCTAGGCAGGAATACCGGCCCTGCGCGAACGGAGAGAAGGCGCGTCGGTCTTTCACCATCTCCGGGCGACTGTACCATCGTTCGGGGATGAATTCGTTTGCGCGCTCGAAGCAGGATTCCACTTCATCATCGTCAGCATCAACATCAGCATTAACTTACGTGACATCGACAGGTAGATGCTACTCACGCCTTGCAATGTGGTATTTCGGCGCGACGATCGTCGTATTCCCCGGGATGTATCGCCCTGCGATCGTCAGCCCCTGCGGCGGCGAAATCCGGTATCCCCCCGTCGGAGTCGGCGGGTACAGGCGCAGAATCTCGTTGGTGAACGCGGCCAGATGCTTGAGTTTCTGCAGCGCGGCCGTGTCGTAGATCGACTCGACGGTTTGCAATTCCTGGCGGATCTTGTCCGCGTGCTGGGGGTCTCGGGCGAGGTGATAGAAGGCGAAGACCAAGCTGGGTGCGACAGTGTCACTGTAAGTCGTTAGAAAGTACTGTACTGTACACCCCGAGTAGGATGAAAACAAACCTTCCGGCCACGATCATCGTGATGGAGTCGCCTTGGATCCAGTCCATGTTGCCCGAGAAAATCGTCTTGCTGTCGGCTTTGGAAGCCTCGATTAACCAGGAGGCGATCTACAAAAGTCAGAAGAAGAAGCAAAGTATCTGGAGATGGGTACTGACATCCGGCTTATCGACCGTCATCTTCATCCTCTGTCTCATACACTGCTTGCACCACTCGACCATATCCCGAAAATCGCGAACGATCCATAACCGCGGAATGCTGAAGCCAATCTTCAACAGCCACGGCACAGGACTGAACGGACCCAGCAGCGCCATCCCCCGCTTGAGATTGCGCACTGCCGTCTTCCATTCCTCTGTCCGGGCCATCTCGGGCGTGCGGCCAAAGGCAAAGTCGCCCATGATGTCGAAGCTGAACTCGTACAGCAGTTTCCATGCGTCGACTACTTGCTTCGAGGCCGCGGCTTGGCGGACTTGGGATTCCGCTTCGAGGGCATACTGCACGATGCGTTCTTTGTAGCTGGAGAGAGCTGCATCGTGTTAAGATTTCTATTACAACTTATGTATTGGTCAGGAGCTTTCGTTTATCTTCTCCAATTCATTTTGCTAATTCATCTTGCTAGCAAGTTCGACCAGGGCGAACCCTACGATGCGTCCAGAATAACGACTGGCCGCTTGTCGAGTCTTGTAACGACAGTCTGTGCGACAATCATCCTGGTCGTGGACCATCTGTCGCGGTTGTGTCGAGCGCAACTCACTGATAGGAGGGATAATCCTGGTCGAGAGAAAATAAATGAAACTTGTGGCGAGCTCAGCAGCAAGCATTTGATCTTAGATGATACGACAGGCTTGATCTCGATCTTTTTCTTTCGTGCATGAGATTTAGATTTCAACCGGCATTCATCTACATCCTGTGATTTTGATTGATGATGGCGACTCATTCATCGACTGCGATTTGGCCATTCGTCTATGCAAGAACGGACAGTGTACGTCCATGTATGACATGGAACCATCCAGTTGACGTACTTCATTGCATCAAGTACGCTGTGGCTAGCTGATGCTTTCTCAAGCGTCGCCACATTTTCACTCCTTCAGCTAGAATGTGCACTTTGTGTGCTTGAAGAAAAGTATATATTGGGCTCATTTCCCATCCTCAGTCTATGATTACAACCGCTCATCCTTCACAATCACATATCTGAACAACAGCAAGAAGATCTTACCACCAAGAAAAGGTATTTCTGATCATACTACCACCATGTTCGACTACACCCGCCTCAGAGCCATCGAATTCTTCTACAAGGACCGCAAGTTCATCCGCGTCTACTACCAGGATGGCGACCTGATCAAGCAGTCGTGCTACAACGACGACGACGGCTGGTACACCATGCCCAACGACATTGTCGCCCGCGATGTGCGCGAGGGCAGTCCGATTACGGCGACGAACTAGCATGATGGGACGCAGGTGAGCCTGAAATCAAGCACTCTACTACGCAGGCAGGGCTAACGAAACGATGGAAGACCAGGGTGTATTATCTCGACAAGCAGGGGCAGACCCGTCTGGTACGTTCGATTTTATACTTCCTCTGAATCCTGCTAACTTCCCAGCGCGTCCGGCTCACTTCTGCCGCCGGCGACGAAGGCGAATGGACCGACGCCAAATTCCCCGCCGTCAAGCCGCTGCAAAGCACCCAGCTGACGGCCGCGCGCACCGACGAGGATAACGCCAACATCCACGTCTACTACCAGGACGAGGACCACTCGATCCGCGAGCTCAAATACTCGGCCGACGACGACGCCTGGTACGAGAACGAGACGTGCGTCGCCAACGCGCTGCCGGGGACGGGTCTGTCCATCATCACTGGCGGCGACGGCAACGAGATCCGGCTGTTCCACCAGGATAGCCAGAACCAGATCCGCGAGATCTATTCGGATACGGACACGACTGGAAGAATAGTGCGTCCATAGCCCTTTTTTTCTAGATTCAAGATCAATACACTGACAGTCGTCTGCAGGCAGAATCGAGAAATACACCCTCCTTCCTGGGGCTGGGATCAGCGCCGTGGCCTGGAACTACGGCAAGCGCAACTTCCAGATCCGCGTGTACTCTGTCGGCGCAGACAACAAGATTGTCGCGATGGAGTATCACAAGGAGAAAGGCGGCTGGGAGCGGCACGTCAAGGACACGTCGCAGGTGATCCTGACAGGCGCCTCGTCGGGACAGCTGTCGGACATTGCAGCCGTGCGCATCCCCGAGGACGGCGTCATCAGCGTGTTCTACCAGCCGCAGCGGAAGATCATCGGGCAGTACAGCGTTGCGAGCAGCAGCAACGGGCGCATTCCGCTGGGGATTCCGACCACGGGGCTTACGGGCGTGGACAAGGCCCGTCTGGAGGCGGAGAGGCAGCAGAAACTGGCCGCGGAGAAGCAGCACGAGGAGGAGGAAGAGAGGAAGCGTCAGCAGAAGCTGAAGGATCTGGGCGTGTGTCCGTCCGGGTATGCCTGGGTCAAGGAGGCAGGCGGGTATCGCTGCCAGGGTGGAGGCCATTCTGTCACCAATGCGGAGCTGGGCGTTGCCAATTGATTGATGTGTAGGAAATATGATATTCTGTCGTTACAGAGGTCTTACCATTAGTCGGCTAGCTAGTTTCATTCAGATTTCGGGTTAAAAATATGATTATACTATCCCAACACGAAATAACGATATAGTGTAATACGCAGGATAATCCATGCTCTATTTCGCTCGCTGTAGTTAGTTCGCGATATAGATTATAGATTGAGGACAAACGAAGAAGAAAGAAAGAAATTGATTGATTTAAAATAACCCGTATAGTGTTTTACTCTATTTGAAAACATACAACTTGGTTGAGGATCTATCAATCATGAATGATGCTTATTATATATGCGAAGTACTACGGATTGCAGGACCAGCACTTCAGTAGTAAAGAATCAGCTCGTCTACTATTCATAGGTGGATATTATACTCATCAGACCGGTTATCAGTAGGTATTCCAACCGTCTACTAAGATGTAATTCTATATTTGATCTAAGAATTATATAAACAAGAAATTGTTAGTTTATAGATCGATGACTTTGTTGAAATATCTGGTAAATACTGTAGAGTGCAACCCTCGGAGAATTTTTCCGAGGTACGGAATACGATATACGACATACGAGATAAGGGTAATAATCTGCAAGCATGCACTCGCATTATTAATTCAAATGCAAAAATCAGTATGGACAGTTAGGCCCGATGTTCCGCGAAAGGAATCGTGTGGAGAAGGGCCAGCTATTCCTGTTCCTGATTAATTCTCGTTTAAATTAAAAACTCTCTTGCCCCTCTTTCTCTCCGCCTTTTCTCCGCACCCCATATAAAAATAAATACATAAATACATACGTGTGAACAACAATGGGTTACCCCGACGTTGACTCCAGATCCATGGAGATCCAGGAGCTGCCGTTGCAGCAGGACACAAAGAGCATCGAGCTGCACAATTATAATCGTCCTGCCAAAGACAACGGAAAGAGAGCTGAGGTATATCCCACTGGACTGTCGCACCTGCGTCATGCAAACCAGCATCAGCAGCAGCAGCAGCAGCAGCAGCAACAAGAACACGAACAGCAAGAACAGCTGCACAATGTCGACGACCGCCCGTCTGCCAGCTCCGTCAAACTCAAGCTGATCAGCTGCTGCTTGTCCTTCCTCATCGCTGGTCTCAACGACGGCAGTATCGGGCCGCTGGTCCCGTACTTCATCGAGCAGTACGTCATCACCACGGGGCTGGTCGGAGTCATTTATGGCGCCAGTTTTGCCGGGTGGCTTGCGGCAGCAATCTTGATGTCCTTTGCGACTGTGTACAGCGGGCTGAGGGGCACGCTGTTGGCAGGAGCGGTTTTCTACCTCCTGGCTCAGGTTTTGCGCGTGTGGGTATGTCATCCAGTTGCTGGAATTCTCCAAGCAAATGGCTGAGCTGTCGTAGATCCCTCCCTACCCCCTCTTCGCAATCTCATTCTTCTTCGCCGCCCTCGGCCAGGCCTTCCAGGACAGCCAGGCCAACACGTTCGTCTCGTCCATCGCGTCGTCGCATCTGTGGCTGGGCGTGCTGCATGCCATGTACGGATTAGGTCTGCTGATTGCGCCGCTGATCGCGACGGCCATTGCCTCGCACGACACGCGGCGATGGTCTTTTTACTACCTGCTGCCAATGGGTGTGGGCGTCGTCAATATCGTCTTGCTGCTGGTGTCGTTTTTCTCGCTGCCTTTTCTCCGGACAGATGATCCTGAAGCGGCAGTACCGGCTGCTGCGGCGCCTGCGCATGCAGTTGAACGTCCCCAGACGGGCAAGTTCCGAGCTGCGATCGAGGAGATGAAGGAGACGGTGCGGGTGAAGGAGGTCTGGCTGATCAGTCTTTTCTTCTTCTTCTATCTGGGGGCTGGTCTCACCATTTCTGGTATGTCGATCTGGCCCAAACTGGGATGCATACTGACTGCTGGTCACAGGCTGGCTCGTCGTCTACCTCAACCAAGTCCGCCATCTCCCTCTCTCCAGCGCCGGATACGTGCCCACCGGCTATACGGCCGGCCTGTTCATCGGACGCCTGCTGCTGCCGCATCCGACACACAACTGGCTGGGAGGCGAGCACTACACGCTGACAATCCTCTGCATCGCCTCTCTCGCCCTGCAGCTCCTCGCGTGGCTGGTCCACTCGGGCATCGTGACCGCCGTGGCATGGAGCCTGATGGGGTTCTGCGTCGGGCCCTTCTTCGCGGCCGCCATCCAGGTGGCATCCGAGGTGGTGCCGCGCAAGGTGCGGTCCAGCGGGCTGGGGCTGATCTTTGTCATGGCGCAGCTGGGAGGCAGCATCCTGCCGGCCGTGACGGGGGCCATCGCGACGGAGAAGGGGGTCGAAGTGATGCAGCCGATGGCGCTGGCGCTGATTGCGGCCATGGGGTTGAGCTGGTGGTTTGTGCCGACGTTGAAGCGGTAGTTTTCGTCAGAAGAAACTGTCTACTAAAGCTGCTCACTATTCATGTAATAAAGTAATCTGATGATGCCATTTAATCTACCAACATAAACCTCCCCCAATCCAAGATAACCTAACTACTGGCTGAACCCGTTCTCCATCCCCCTCTCAGAGGTAATAATCACAGATATAATCGAGGGTCTTCTGAATAAACCAACAGTAAATATTCGAATGGTATTTACATCACAGCCTTGCGTATGAAGGCAGAGACTATCATAACAACATAACAAACATGGTGAATGCTGGTGGGGAGTTTTTCGCTTAGAAAAAGCCTACTGTTTTCTTTTGGTTTTCATTCACCCTTTTTTTAAAAAAAATAATTCTCTTATTTCTTTATTTGCTAGTCAAACGTGATAGATAGGAGAACGATCAAGATCCTTCTTCTCCGAGTTAGCATATGCTTATTTCTCATTTAAAATATCTACCCATCGATCTATGGTTTGAGGTCATAGCGGAGAGGGTGATATGTGAAGAGTATATGTACGGTGTCTGTTTGACCAAGTTGCCTATCTAGGTAGTTAAATACGCTGCTGTGTAAATGATTGGCCAGAGATCTGTCATATAATATTATTCTACAAAATTTTTTCATCTAGCTAGTTTCCTGCGTCAGTCTCGTGATAATCGTGACATCAACCGGTATGCAATAACCTTATCAAAGTGAAAAGCAAAAAAAAAAAGTAAACCATCTCCATCTCTCGCTACATTCCCTTATACGCACCAATGGATCTCTGGGAAGCAAAGATCTACTGCCGCGCCTGTGGCACCCTTGTCGAACCGGACGCGCTCAGATCGGTCGTTGGCGAACAGCCCAGGAAATGGGGTGCAAGCAAGATGGTACGGCTGCCTGCCGCCGAGCTAGAAAACATGTATTTCAGTAAAGAACGGGGGTGGATGTGGGTGACTCTTTATCGAGTCTAAAAAGGACGAACTATTGGTTATCAGAGACCCCGGCCATAAGAAACATAATAAAGCAGAGCAGGACAGTAATTGCAATTATCGGCTGTCTGGAATCGCACAGCATACTACCGACATGATGGACACGCAGGAGTTCCTGGTCTTCACCGGCCCATTGGAATGGCGCATGGCGGACTCGTACTGGGCGGCAAGAGCGCCATCTGCCCTGATCTATGAAATCCAGGACCTGCTGGACGATGGCAACGTGATGGTACACTGGGAAGACCTCTGTCTTCGCGCCGAAGAGCTGGTCCAGACGTCGGACGAGTTGCGGAACCGGCGACGGATTATGCGGATCATCGATGGCACGAAGAAGCTTTTCGTTCGGATGATGAGGAACGAGAGTTGGGATAGTTGTGGGGAGGATTATTATCTCGAGAGTGATTGTGACGAGAATGGCTACGACGAGAATTGCATGAAGTCGTATTTATGGGAGTGGAAGCGACAGTAATCATGACCTTAATGACTGCGATGAATGACTATGGTTTGAGACATACTCTAGCTAACTCTATCCAGTTCCCAGTACACTATTTGATAGGTTGCTCAAAACAAAAAAAGAAAAGGAAAGGAAAGGAAAAGAAATAAAACTCAACAGTTTGAACAAGGGAGTATAGCACACTACGATCTTCAATTCTTCTCCTTCTAGACGACATAAGTTGAAAGACAATCGCAGGTCCATGTCACAATCTACAAACCTACCAGTTATCTACAGTAGATAGTCTGAGCACCCACGCAAGATGCGGACAGATAGTACCAAGTCTGTTAGTAGATACATACAGACAGACAGCACCGTGCACCTCTTCGATTACCGACATGTAGCTAATGTCTTATTTTCGAGATGAAAAATAATAATTACAATGATCATCATAATACTGGGCCTGCGTGGAAATAGTAGTCGTGCCAAAGTCAGTTGAAAAGACTGATAACTAACTACCCTTAGTACTTACTGTACGTCATGTGGCAGCTTGTCTGCTTCCTAAAAAAAAAAGAAAAGAAAATTGTCGACTGCGCTCTGAAAATTCTTTTCCCTCCTTGACCTCTATTGATACTCTCTATAATTTCCTGTTCGATGGAACGAACATTTCGAATGAACTCGCTTTCTTACCTACACACTTTACGTCAGCTACTGGCAGCTGTTCTTTGTGCAATGCTCATTCGCCAGCCGGGCTTCCAGGCTTTCTAGGCGTATCGCTATCCCTTGCTCCATATTTCTGGTGTAAACTCTACAAAAAAAAGGTGAAAGCGAAAGGGAAAAAGGCGAAAATTAATATTCTTTCGTCCTATCAAGACTTCTCATCACAGGCAGTTGTCAGGTCCGTGGCAGTCAACGTATCTTCGACTCGCTTGTAGATCAACACCAGCACAAACAGCATCGATCCCGCCAGCAACCCCCAATAGCTGCCGAACATGGCCTGGTAGCTGACCTGGCGGACGTCAAGATTGAAGACGATCGCCGCGCCCATCGCCCCAAACACCTTGTAGAAGGCCGAATAGATGGACAGCACGAGCGGGTCGTTGGACAGCGCCCCCATCACCCACCACGCAAACGTCTGCCAGGCCCCGTCCACCGCGCCGTAGAACATGTACAGCGCGATGTACCCGCCGGCCCGCACGGTGCCGTCGGCCACGTCGATCAGATGCGCCGGTGGCACGCCGCGGTGCGACAGCCGCATCGGGAAGATGCCCCCGATGAAGACGGCGTTGAGCAGGACGAACAGGAACGTCCAGCCGATGAAGGCGCGGCGCCGACGGCTTCGGCCCAGCAGCTTCAGGTCGAGCAGGAATCCCATCAACACGGCCATGAAGAACTGGCCAAAGTCGAACCAGAGACTGCCGAACGCGCGCGTCCGCAGGTCGAAGAAGTACCCGTTGAAGTCGTTGCTCTGGTACGGGATGTACCACAGCCCCGCGAAGCTGTACGGGAAGAAGAGCATGATGAGCGGCTCGCGCTTGACGGCCAGCACGACGTTCTTCAGTTCCTGCACAAACGTCGTCTGGCGCGGGACCAGCACGCGCGTGCCGTCCGCCCGCATGATCTTCGACGGGCTGGAGATGCAGCACGCGACAACGCTGCCCATCACCATTAGGATGAACAGCGCGATGTACGTGCCGTCGTTGACGCTGCCGGCCGTCGTCACACCCCAGTTCTCGACCGTCGGGATGATGGCGCCGATGACGGTGCCGAAGAACGACAGCCCGTAGAAGATGCTGATGTATTTGCCTTTGTCTTTTTCTAGGGGGAGGGACATGATCAGCGATCCTTCGGCGGTCCTGCAGTAGTCTGTCAGCTCGCTGACATACTCATCTAACGGTGATCTTGGTGGAGTTCGACATGACTAACCAGAGAAACGCCGCCGCAACGCCGCACATGGCGCCGCCAAAGTACACAAACCCCTGGTTCTTGTTGTGGTTATAGCTCCAGAACGACGCCGACAGCAGCGAGTAGCCAATGCCACCGGCCGCCAGGGTGACTTTGGGCCCAAGAAAATTGCACACGGATCCGGACATCAGGGAGAAGATGCAGAACAAGCTGTACAGGATGGTGTTGGCGTTGTTACTCGTCGTGGGATCGACCTGGCCGCCGCCGCCCAGGGCGGACAGCACGTTGAACATGCCCACGACGAGGAGATGCACGAACGAGATGATGAGCGTCTGCACGATCGGGGATCGATACGCTGGAATTGTGAGCCCGCCGATCCGGTATCCTTTGGGCGGGTCATACAGGGTGTCGACGACAGTGTCAGGCTCGTCGACTGCTTTCGGATGGATCGTCTCCTGTTTTGTGTCGTCCATATCGTCGACGGTCGACAAGTTCTTCTCAAGATCTGCGGCGCCCATTGCTGGCGATTCTGGCAATTACTGCTGAAACAGCTGAAAGAACGACGAGAAACACGAGTGACCGCTCCATGGCGATCGACCCCTTTTATTAACAACCACGATAGGCAGTACGAGGTCGGAGCACTCTGTCCTCCGGACGACCAGCTGCTCTCGCCAGCTTATCTTGATATGACACCGTCCACAGGGGCTCGAGCAGGCGTCTATCTCCACCAGAGTGCGGGGGGCGAATCAGCGAGCTGGCCCAGAGCAACTAGACGCATGCCAATCTGCACCGTTGCGCTGCGTCTCCATCGTTATCGACGATCCACTGCTGTCGCCTTCCCCAGCAGGCAGTCCGGCGGATGTCTTGCGCGGGATGGATATCGGGATTTCGTGCGTGGGATGCGCATCGGCGTTTGTCACTGGTGGAGCCGGGCGAACGCCGTGCTGTGCGGGCATCTCTGCTCGTATCTGAATTCCACATCTTCTCAACTGGACCCGGAGATGATTCAGATGGGGGATCGATTACTTTAAGTCGCAGCCTGCTGTAGGCATTCTGGTCGGCAATTGCCGGCAGGCCACGATATTTCTGTCTGTTCCTTCCTCTGGATAGTTCAATTGGCAGCAACCAGTTAAAGTCCATTCGATTGAAGCAGAAGGGAAGGTGAATAAGAATATATGAACGGCGTGACCAGTCATTGCCAACTGCCATCTCATTGAGACTCTCGTTCCAAGCAAGCAGGAAATACTTAGCTGATCGCTCGATCGATAGTCGATATGGATATTCTCAAAACCTCATGGAGCTTCAAAGACGGTCGAAAGGTCGACCCCAACCAACCGCCCATCAAGATCGCCTTCCTTGGCACCAGGCATCCCCATGTGATGTACCGGTTCGCTGTACTCGACAAGATGGGCGGGTTCGAGTTCGCTGGGTTCTACGAAGAGGTTGACGAGATCGCGACCAAACTGGCCGAGAGACTGCCTCGTCTGCCGCGCTTCGACTCGCCGAAAGCGCTGCTCGACACGAACCCGGACGTGGTGATGATCCATGCCTTAGATCCAGATGTGCCGCGATGGGCCCGGTTTGCTATTGACCATCCGGCGCCCTTCAAGGGGCTGTTCCTGGAGAAGCCTGGGGCGGCCATCCCAGAAGACTTTTATAAACTCGCTGAGGAGATCCAGACGAAGAGGCCAGATCTGGCGGTCGAACTAGGGTATGAGATGCACTATTCAGAGGCACTGGACTTTGCCCGCCAGGTTATTCGCGAAGGCGTGTTAGGCGACATCACAACCGCCCGGTTCCACGGCGGCTGTCCGTGCGGCGCGGGGATGGACCTGTGGCAGTCGATCCCCGAAGACCTGGGCGGTATCATGCAGACAGAAGGCTGTCACACGCTTGAGAACGTGATCGACTTGTTTGGGCCGCCAGAGCGCGTTGTCTCGTCGATTCGCAAACTGCCACCGCGGCCGCCACACAAGGTGGTGGGCTGGATTCCGGATCTGTTCACGGGGACCGTCACGACGGGCGAGTTTGGCGTGGGGACATTGTTATATGAGGATGTCTGCTCCGGGATTATGGAATATCCCGACAAGACGATCGTGCTGGACATGACGGCGTGGGAGCCGACGGAGTGGTGCAACGAATGGGCGATCGACATCTACGGGACAAACGGGTCTCTGCACGCGGTGCCAGACTATCCTGTCGCGACGCTGTATCTGCGCGAGGCAAGGGGAAGTTTTGCTGCTGGCGAGACGAAGATGCCGACAGAGTTGCCGTACGGGACGTCGAATGCACCGGCCTGCTACCGGAAGCAGTTCGAGTCGCTGTTCGCTCGAGTACGGGGTGCAAAGACTCTTGAGCACGGCTGTTGCGATCTGCAGACCAATGTCAAGATCCTGAAAGTGATTGATGCGTTCTATAAGTCGGCTGCGTCGAGACAGTGGGTTGATATCGAGTGACGATAGACTAGAGAATAGATAGAGATGATAATGAGCATACAGATACCAGATGATGAACTTCGATAGAATGCTAGTCCGGTTAATCGAAGCGAACTCATCCACGCTATGCAGGTCTGTTAGCACGTATATCAGCTGTCAGACGGCAGTAATGTATGTACATACTCTTCTAATCACACGTATGCTTCTGTCTATACTCTGCATAGTTTGCTTTAACGACAACAGGATCCAAAACACAGGAAGAAGGATCACAAGGATGCTGGTATAAAATAGCAGAGGAGACAATTCGACTCTCTACAAAACGTAATCACATGATTCCCTCGTCACATGTCCGCAGCGAAGGTCACCTGCCTGACCAGGGAGATGGCTAGGGTTAGGGCCTAGGGCTTAGGGCGGGCTGGCGATGCGTGATCTCGCACCTGCATCTTCTCCTTTCTACTCACCTGAGATGGCCATTCTGCTTCACTGTCCCATTTCTGGACGAAAGCAGGATACAGCTACTTCGATTGCCCATTACATGCAGCTATTGACGACGCTACTCGCCTTAAACCGCCTCTGTCACCTCCGATATCGCCACCAGATTGCGGCAGCTGTCGCTGTTGCCAGCAATGCTCCGCCCCCAAACACCGACCAATTCTTGATAATCTGCTCCCAACTCTTTCTTTCTCTCTCCTATCCAACAAATCCGCATCTCGCGATGGCAGAGGGACAAAATCCAGCCAGGGCGCGTCCTTCGCAAATCGAAGATACTGTCCTGCCTTGGCCTGGTCGGAGATAAACCAGGGAGAGATGTACCGGGCATGGAACCTGAGGAACCATGTCTCCTGCGCTTCTGTCTGAGTCGTTTTGGCTGAGATCGTCCGGGCAACCTCCGCTCGAGAGCGGTGGACCCTGTCAAACTGTTCGAAGAGAGAGCTTAGGTCTGACAGCGACGGCGAAGGTTTCTCTTTCAGTAGCGCGACAAGACCATTGGTGAACTGAGTGACAGCTTCGAGGGCGAGGTTGCCGCCGAGACCAGCGTTGATTGTGACCTGCATTGCACCATGAACCAGACGATCATTCACTGTTGAATTGTCAAGGACGTACCTTATGTGCAGAGTCACCGAGCAAAAGAACCCGTCCATGACTCCACTGCTTGACTATCCCGTCCTCCATCGGCACCAGCGTCGCTCGAATTCGGGTATCCCACAGCTCTCGGAGTGTATGATTCTTCCCCAGGGCGGTGCGACCATACCGGTCGATGACAGCCTGGGCATCCTCATCTGTATAGCGAGGGGTCTTATGATCCTGAGTCCTGCCCGTCTTGATGAAGAGAAACCAGAACACGAGGTCTGGTGGGCTGGTGGTCACGATGGCTGAGTAATTGTCGCCGTACACGTTATACACGGTATGCCCATCGGGCAGAAAGGAGTCAGAGGCGCTAGGATCGCGGCGCGAGATGCCGAACAGGGCTTGGTATGATGTTGTGAATGCTGGGTGAGTTAATCAGCAGTGATGATATAATCATGGATTACAACGAACTGGAGAATGCTATCTCACCCTGGTCAATCTCCGTGCTAAGTGCGTGGTTTATCCTACTAATTCGCTCCGACATGACGGCTCTCACGATGCTGTGGATGCCGTCCGCCCCGACGAGGACGTCGCCTCTGAACGAACGGCCGTCGCTGGTAGTCACAACGACACCATCGTCATGTTCTTCGTATGAAACGACGGCGGTATGATCATGCACTTTGCTCTTGTCCCGGATATGCTTATACAAGACTTGGAGCAGTCTTCGCCGTTCGATGAAGAAGAACGGCCAGCGGAGGCTACAGACCATCAGTTACACGCACTCATGCATCTAGATAGATATGATATCGCATACGTACACCCGAGATATCTCCCTCAATTGGAACGACTCCTCGAAGACGCGACCATCGTTGGCGTCCAACCGGCGTACCTTCTCTAACTGCGTGACCGTCGGCTCAATATCTTTCCAAACCCCAAGCTGTTCCAATATACGGACGGATTGCGAGTGTAGGGCAATCGATGCGCCAAGCTGCGGTCCTATCTCGCCCTTTTCAAACACCTCGAAATTGATCCCCGCGCGCTCGAGCGCCAGCGCGAGGGTCAGGCCGACGAGGCTCCCGCCAGAGATGAGAACTTTGAATGGGGGCATCAGCGCTGCCAGCAGGGAACGGCGATTAATTCACTGGCTGACTGGCCGACTGATTGGGTAGTTTTGTTTCAAATTAATTGAGGTGCGTGTTACAATGTCATTTATTCCTTTTTGGCCGGGTTTGAAACATTTTTATCGCTTATCGCCAAGGTGATGGCGATGGCGATGGCGAAAGCGGACCCATCGGTGTCGCAATCGTCGGCCAACTAATACAACCAATATTTATTACAGGACTGACTGATTGACAGTTAGCACACAGAACAGTCTTACATGGCTCTCTTCGATGCACTGATTTGAGGGGAAATACTTGATCTTGCGAAGGACCTTCTACTATATATTCTTTTATTTAATTCCCAGGTGGGCTTCCCACGTTTAATCCCTATCATATTCCCGTCATCGGCATCTTTATTATCTACTCTTTGGGCGATTTTCTAACAATAATTCCTTGATGCATAGTTTTATTCACTGCAATTGGTGCCATGAATTGCTAAGATGCAGTATGCAACAACGCAGTCAATGAGATAGATTCTAGCTGCTCCGCACAACTAGCTCTTCCTGCCGGATAAAGACCGGCATGCTCTCAATCGGACAGTCGACCTCGACAGTCTGCGGCCCGTCGTACGATACAGACGGTTTGTTGTCCGCAGCAGCAATACTTCCATCGGGGAAGAAAGTCCACTTTCCAGCTGGCAGGTAGACGCTGCGCTTCTTCTGCCCTGGATAGAGCACCGGCGCGCAGAGATACTTCGCCCCGAACATGTACTGATCTTCCACAGACCAGGCGTGCTCATCGTCCGGGAAATCGTAAAACAGCGGTCGGATGACCGGAGTGCCCTTCTCGTGCGCGTCCTTCATCAGTCCACGGGTGTAATCGCGCAGCTGCTCGCGGATCCGCAGGTACTTCACGCAGATGTCGTACACTTTCTCGCCATACGACCACACCTCGTTCGGCGCTCCAGACCGACAGGCGGCGCCTCCCGTCGTCCCATGCTGCGGTTGTCGCGGCTCGCGGTCACCGTGCAGACGCATCACCGGACAGAAGGCGCCCCATTGGAACCAGCGCACGAAAAGCTCGCGAAAACCCTCGTCCCGTGGATCGCCGCCGTGGAAGCCGCCGATGTCTGTCGTCCACCACGGAATCCCTGCCAGCCCCATGTTCAGCCCTGCCGCCAGCTGGCAGCGGAACGACTCCCAGGACGACGCGATGTCGCCGCTCCAGACGAGCGCGCCGTACCGCTGAGAGCCCGCCCAGGCGCAGCGCAGCAGATTGACCACATTCTTCTGGCCAGCCTGCGTCATGCCCTCGTAGAAGGCTCGCGCATACTCGACCGGGTAGATGTTGCCGATGCTCAGATTCGACCCGAGGTAGTAGCGGTAGTTGTCGAAGTCGTACGCATTGTACTCCGGCTCGGCCTCGTCCAGCCAGAACACGCGCACGCCCTTGTCGTAGTAGTTCTTCTTGGCCTTGTTCCAGACATAGTCTCGGGCGCCTGGGTTCGTGGCGTCAAAATGCACTGTCTCGCCCTGGAAGTTCATCGCCGTGCGGATGCCGCGGTCCATGCGGATCAGGTAGCCCTTCTCCACCATCTCGTCGTAGTTTTCGGAGCGTTTGTCGACGGTCGGCCAGATGGAGACCATCAGCTCGATGTTCATGTCGCGGAGTTCACGGATCATTGCATCTGGAGTGTTCAGTTAGCAACATAACCAGTTTCCAACGGCATCATCTCTCTGTCTGAGGTTAAGGGGAATACCTGGATCCGGCCAGTACGTGGGATCAAACTTCCACTCACCCTGCAGCGGCCAGTGGAAGAAGTCAATGACAATGAGATCAATCGGCAGATTGCGGCGCTTGTACTCGCGCGCTACTTCCAGCAGCTCCTCCTGCGTCTGATACCGCAGCTTGCACTGCCAGAAGCCCAGGCCATACTCGGGCATCATGGGCACCGTGCCGGTGACAGAGGCATACGTCTCGACGAGCGCGCTGGGAGTATCGCCTGCAACAACCCAGTAGTCCATGACTTTCGTCGAATACGCCTCGAACGACATGACATTCTTCCCGAACACCGCCCTGCCGACACCGGGGTTGTTCCACAGGAACCCGTACCCCCGCGACGAGATGGCGAACGGCACGCTGGCCTGCGAGTTGCGCTGCGCCAGCTCCAGGTCTAGCCCCTTCAGGTCCAGGTACGGCTGCTGGTACTGGCCCATGCCGAAGATCTTCTCGTGGCGGTCGAGCGACTCGAAGCGGACGGTGAGATGGTAGTCGTCGGTGCCGGGGATGGGGCGGAACTCGCGCGCCTCGACCTGGAGGGCGCTGCACTTGGGGTCCGACACATCGTTCCGGTTGCGCATGTACTCCTCCAGCAGCAGTTTCCCCGACAGGGCGTTGTAGATCATGAGTTTGCCGCGCGCGCTGATGACGGCCTTGATAGCGCCGTTGGTGAGCGTTCCTTCGCGCTCGGTCACGCTGATGGATGGCTTCACGGGCGCTGTTGGGTCGATCTGCAGCGCCCAGTTCTCGCCTGGCATCTGGGCCTGCTTGGTAGCCCGCACGCGAAGGGCGTTTGGACCCCAGGGCTCGATCCAGAGCGTTTCGCCATCGTAGCAGTAGATGAGGCGGTTGTTGTCTGAAAGGAGCATGTCTATTTACTACACTGGTACGCTGAATAGTCAGGATGATAGGCAGCTGACAACGTCAGATATGTACTGTACACGAGGGTATACTGTAAGAAGGATAAGATTGATATGGATACTATGACACCCAATGCGGGTAGCTGGAGTAAGCCGTTGTCTTGCTGTGGGTGGAAGGCATGTGAACTGCATGCATGACATGCAACAGTTCGGAGAATTATGTCCGTTCTAGATGGTAACCTAGTCAAGCTAATAATGGAAATATAAATAGTACAATATTTAACCAAATCCTAATGACCGTTGCAGCACTTCTAGCAAGTCCAACCCTGATAGAATATGACGTGTAGAAGCTAAGGGAAGAAATTCATCCGGAATTAAAAAAAATAAAAATAAAAAATACAGTGAATGCTGCACATCCATCTTTCTACCTTGACAAGTAGACAGCTAACTTCCTAGCCCCGCACTGTACATATATGTACTCTGTACACTTGGCCGGTGGTGACCCCGAATTTCCTTTGCGGGTATAGCGAGCCTGTATGGGAATTTGGCAAAGGTGCTGTGATTTTCCATGGCTATCAGATGCCCAATTTCTTTGCATATATTTATGGGTTAATAGATAAAGCGGCTTTTCCTCACGATTTATCAACTTCTTGTCCATTGCTGTAATTTTTTTCTTTCCCTTTGGGTCATCTTCCCGTGCTCCTTTTTCTCTTTTCCCTTGTATTTTAATAAGTAAATAGCGTTCTACTCTATTATAATGGAAATATCTTTTTTTTTTGTTGCTGAGAATTTGGCTTAATAAGCAGTTTCAGTGTTGTTTCTATATGCCTCCCTAGCAGCAAGTCACTAGTTTCAAGGCTCGTTCGTTGTTAGACTAAGACGCATACATGTTCTTGCGGTTCTCCTCGTCTTTAAGTACAATGTTTATACCAGAGTACGAATATTTGTAGATGGACCTGGATTTTTCCGAGAACTCTATTTCCTGTCTTTAAAGCAGCAGGCCAAGATGGATGTTGCTGTCTTTTATTTTTCCTTCTGCCCCAACCACTTGTCACTTATCATAAAGCGGACGATTATCACACTGACCGATCCTCTATGCATTTCTCTCGCATTTCGGTACCGCAGAAACAGCTTTCATTGGGCTGTTCATCTGACGAGCTACAAAGTCATATATCTTCCTTGGATCATTTTGAGTGGCCTTTACTGGTTAAATACTTACTAAGAATATTCTCTTATTTATTTGAATAATGGATTAGCGGCATCGGCCGGCAAAAAGGGCACACACACAAAAGAAAGAAAGAAAGAGAGAGGGAGAGAGAGAGAGAAAGAGAGAGAAATACTTATCCACATCCTGGATTTCGAGAATTAGAATACGATAGCTGTATGTATGGATTTAGACAACCGGACAACGACGAGTATCTGGCACACATGCCTTCCTGTGACCTACGATTAAGAACCAAAGGTTGCTATCCATCCCCGACATAATTCATTTCTTCTTAATCTTGGCCTTCTCATTTTTGGGACTCTCTTTCTTAAGTTTCTTCAGATCCTGCGGTTTCCCCTTTATCCATCGCATCGCCTTTTGCTTATACTCCGCATACATGGTCGTGTGGGGCGTCTTGTGGACGACGCCTTGGTGGATGCGGTAATAATCCCTGCCTAAGTAGGTAAATAAATAAAAATAATCCACCAATCATGTCCCACAACAGACTGATCTACCTATCTTTAGAAACGGGCTCCTCCGAATTCGAGTTAGGGTTAGGGCTAGGGCTGGCTTTACCCCGCATTACTCTGACAGACAGCTGTCCGACTCCACTGCTGACGTGAATCTCCTCCACAAGCTCCATCCTGTGGATCATTTGCATGTTATGGCGTGCGTGTAGTTGAAAGTTGCCATTTCAAATGCCTGCAATGGCTGACCGCCTTGCACACCGCTTCCCAGGTTGACAGGGGCTGCAAGGCATCTCGAGCTCAACATGAAGATGATACTTCCATCCTCTTTCGCGAACAATAGGCCTTGTTCTATCACTGTAATGAGAGGGAGAGTCTTTTACATGGCTTCAATTTGATATTCATCCACGAAAGTTCGTGTTTACCCCTCAGTACAGCTCCGATGAACAACATACCATGTTGAGGGTCCCTCGGTTCCAGTCCTTTGCATGGCAAGGACTGCGCTCACTAGGCTGTGCCTCTGGTATCTATAGGAGTTTCTCCTACTCAACTTTCAGGAACAGCCACCAATTCAGCCAGATCCCTTCGCAGAGTCCCGACCATCAATCTCAATATGAGCGCTTCTTCCGCTACAGCAGCGGCTGCTGGCTCTGGGACGAGGAAGAACAGATGCGTCTGCGCTACGCGCCCTTCGACGTGCAACGACTCCAGCATCTGGCCGCTGCCGCCGTCGGGGCGCGCACATGTATCGCCATGGCCAAGACGGCCGAGGGCGACTACAGCAAGAGCTTCCGTCTGACCATGGACAATGGCGCGACGGTCATCGCAAAGATATCGCGTCCATTCGAGGCGCCAGAATACTACACGACGGCGTCGGAAGTAGCCACTATGGACTTTGTATGCTTTTGCTGCTGCTTGAGCATTCCATGTGGATATATGGATTCTGACGAATTCTAGGTACGGTCCGTGCTGAACATCCCTACTCCGCACGTCTATGCCTGGAGTGCGGACAGCGCGAATTCCGTCGGGGTGGAATATATCCTCATGGCGGAGCTCGAAGGGTCGCCACTGGAAGAGATTTGGGACCAGCTGCCGCTGGAGGAAAGGATTCCCATTCTCGATGACCTTGTCGCTGTGGAGAAAAAGTTATCTTCGGTGTTCTTCAACCGGTACTTGTTCTTAATCCAGGATTCTGCTTGTATATATTGACCTGAGAGATAGATACGGGAGTATATACTTTGCCAGCGATAATGTTCCCGGAGCAGTACCTGCTGAGATCACCGGTGACGTGCCGGCAGAAGCCAAAGACCAATTCATGCAGCGATATTCCATCGGCCCAGTTACTGACACGGATTTCTGGCGGAAAGAACGCGCTGCCATGGAGACGGATCGTGGGCCATGTATGTCCACCCACATTCTGGGCGTACTGTACGTTCTGATCGTCACAGGGAAACATCCCCTCGAATACCTTCTCGCACTAGCCTCGTGCCAGGAGCAATGGATAGTACGTCATGCGAGCGCAAACACCCCCAGCAATGTGTGCGCATATTCCGCCGCGCAGTATTCCCCCGCTGCTCATCTTTCTCTGCTGCAAAAGTTCCGCCCATACCTTCTCCCGGATGAACCCGCCACTACTACTGCGCCCATGATCTGGCACACAGGCATCCACCCAGGCAACTTTTTCGTCAAAGACGGCCGCATCACCGGCATCACAAACTGGCACGAAGTGTGGGCGCGGCCATTGATCCTGCAGTCATCCACCCCGCGTGGTGCAGTTCTACGGGGAGAGGATCTCCGAACTGCCGCCTAACTTCCACGAACTGGATGCGGATGAGCAGAAAGAGCTGCGGAGCCGAATGACGGATTCGATCCTGCGCGAGCACTACGACAGACAGACTGCAGCGGTCAATCCGGCGAGCAAGGTGTGGAACTCAGAGTATCGTCTTGTCCGATGCTATCCGATCTGGTCTCTCAGCGACGCGTGGGATGAGGACATTATTCGGTTTCGGGAATCACTTTTTAAAATCGTGAGGTTTGTCACATTTCCCCTTCTGCGTACGCACTGTGGTTGAGATGATTCCTGCTTACTTCGTGTCTTCCAGGCGATGGAAAAAAGTGGGCTATGCTCCCCCCCGCCCGATCAATTTCACCGACGAGGAAATCCGTGTCCACGAACGCGAAGGCCAGGGCTGGAATGAGGTGCAGGAATTCTGGGATGCGGTCGACCACATGGTGACCTGGCAGGGATGGACGACTCCGGACCGGTACGAGGAGGTGGTGGCGTTGTTGACGATGCTCCGAGAGGAGGGGTATATTTCGTTTGAGGGGGAGGATTGGAAGAGAGTCAGAGTAGCTGTCTGATAGCAAACTACGTGCGTGTATCTATGCATCTCCTTCTTTCTCCTCTCCTTCCTCCAGATGGGCTGGACACGTGATCGGAGGATGGACTCCCGCTGGACATTATAGAATACTCGTAAAGTAGTTTCAAGACAAACGATATCTCCTCTCGACGTTCTTCATTCTGTCAATTCCGACATGGAATATCTCTTTCTCACTGCTAGCACTAATCGTCTTGCGATACAAGCACGGAGCAGAACATCCGAATCCGCCTAAACGCGGAGGACGTCCTCCGTGTCCGACGGAAGATCGACGCACACAGTCTTTCGTCTGGAGAATACTCCGGAGTAGACTCCGGAGTGCTTCTACCGAGTAACTAATACTACACCTGTCCCATTCGCTGTTCGCTGTGGGGAAACGGTCCCCATGGGGATTAACCCCGGATTCGCAAGCTGCAGTTCAGTACCGACTACTGACATATAAAATGTCGCCATCCCACGGCATCGCTCGTCGTACGTGATTTCAGGACGGTATGATATGCACAGACTTACGCGTAACGACAATGTCTCCCAAACCGGAAGTATACCATGACGAGAGCCTGGTTAGCAGCCAGCGCGAGTCCCGCATGCAGGCCGCCCTGCTGGAGGATAATCCCCGGCCGTTGAGGAAGAGCTTTCTCAAGCTGTACCTGTGCATCTTTGTCGGGTATTTGTGCTCTGCGACCAATGGCTTCGACTCTAACACTTTCGGTGAGTAATATCATTCCTTGCAAACCTCGCTACCGCTAATATTAGCATGCAGGCGGCCTCACGGCCATCTCCTCCTTCACCGACTATTTCGGCATCGACACCAACAACCAAGGCCTGGTCGCTGCGCTGTATGTCATCGGGAACATCGCCGGCTCGTTCGTCGCCGGCCCCTGCGCCGATACGTACGGCCGGAAGGTCGGCATGGCGCTGGGTTCGGCCGTCTGCATCGTCGGCGCGATTCTGCAGGCCGCGGGCCAGAATCTGCACATGCTGATGGCCGGACGCGTCATTCTCGGTGCGGGCGTTGCCGTCGTCCAGGCTGCTGGCCCCAGCTACGTCGTCGAGATGTCCTATCCCAAATACCGCGGCCAGCTGACGGGCGGCTTCCAGGCGTGCTTCTTCCTCGGCACGATCGTGTCGACGTTTCTGGAATACGGGCTCAGCTTCGCGAAGGATGCTGGTTCGCTGGTCTGGCGTCTGCCGCTGGCAGTGCAGGGGTTACCGTCTGTTATTGTCCTGCTGTTTGTCTGGTTGATTCCGGAGAGTCCGCGGTGGTATGTAATTAGCAGTGCAAGAATTCCGAAGAAAAAAGAAAAGAAAAGAAAAAGAACGATCACTAAGATGTTGCCTCAGGTACGTCGCTCAAGGACAGATCGACAAAGCCCGAGATATCTTGATCCGGTACCACGGCGACGGCGATCCCAGCTCCAAGGTCGCCGAACTCGAACTCGAGGAGATGCAAGAGGTCATCAGCCTGGAGGGCTCCGACAAACGCTTCTGGGATTTCCGGGAGCTGTTCAACTCGCGCGAGGCGCGGCATCGCACGTTTCTCGTCACCTGCATTGCCTGGTTCGGCCAGCTGGATCTTCCGCCGACCAGCTACTACTTTCCGCTGATGGGTGAGCTTACATCCTTCCCTCTGCTGGATTTGATGGATTTCTCCTAATGCTGGACAAGTCAAAACGGCTGGCATTAGCGACAGCCAAACACAGCTGCTGCTCAATGCCATCCAGACGCCTATTATGATGGCCGCCGCGCTATGTGGCTTGCGGTTCATCCACCGTTTCGGCCGTCGCAAGCTGCTGATGTCGTCGAGCGCCGGCATGACCATGTGCGTTATTATCATCACTGCCTGCACGGCCAACCAGGCGGGCAAGCCTGTCGTGGGGGGAACGAGCATCGCCTTTCTCTACGTTTTCCTCGTCGTGTTTGCATTCGCGTGGGTACGTGCACTCACCATTCATCTTCATGAATAGACAGGAATCTCTGTCTTCTCACTAACTGACATGATTGATCTCTGGTAGACCCCCATGCAAGCCCTCTACCCCAGCGAAGTCCTCGCCTACAACAGCCGCGCCAAAGGCCTCGCATACACGAACCTGATGCTCAACGCCGTCAACGTGATTAACACGTACGTGCCGCCGATCGCAATCGCGCATTCCGGCTGGCGGTACTACATCCTGTACATCGTGTGGGACGCCTTCGGGGTGCTGGTCATTTACTTGACGTTCGTCGAGACGAAAGGGTGGAGTCTGGAGGAGATTGATCACCTGTTTCGGTCGAAGCATCCGGTGAGGGAGAGTCTGAAGGGGAGGCGAGATGAGCGGCCTCAGATGGGGGTTGATGGGGGCAAGGCTGTATAGTCAAGTACGATATGTTGGTAACTACAACCCCAATAGTCTTGGGTCATGTATGCTGATAGGAGTGTTCATATTACCAGATAATTGATATCAGGGAAAATTATTAGCCATCTAGCAGAAATTATTCAGGGTTATTATAGAGCACGGGTCTAGTAATAGTATTATCATAAGCTATATATAAGATCTCTGCGTAAATTGGGGCATTTATTATGGCAAGATGAAATACGTAGTGCGAATGGTACTATGCAGTCAGTCAGCTGAATAGACATGCATTGACAGAAGTAATGACTAATCCATTGTCTTGTTTACATATCCAATCTAGATCTTCACCTATTTAGTAACACAATTCTCCTGTTATGATGGATAAAGCTGGTCCAGCAATTTCTTCCCTCCGAGTTTGTTGACTGGCACTCCCTCCTTGGCCAGGCGTTCTAGCTCCTTCCGCTTCATCTCTTCTTGTTTCTAAAGATCCAGTCAGCAAGTACAGAGTACATGTTTATCTCACAGATCAGGTCTACTCACCTTCACACGCAGCGGCACAAGCCTCTCCCTAGGCGCAGTAATCTTCCACTCCGGCAGCCCCTCCGGCCTCCCCAGATCCCTGAGCGTCTTCTGCTCGACGAGGCTGTACTCACTCGGGTCGCTGCGGTTGTAGTTGAACGGCTCCTTGAGCGCAACTGGCGGATTCGTGATGATCCGCGGGTTGCGCAGCAGATTCTTCGATGCCGAATGCAGCATGAACGGGTGCAGCAGGTACACGTCGCCGACTTCGCCCGTCGCTTCGAAAAAGGTCTCTCGCGCGTCAGTTCGGGGTTCTGGATCCAGCTGTTCCAGTACTTGCGCCGCTCGGGCCCTTGGATGTCTGGTGTGCCGCGCGGTGCGAGGAATGGCGTTACGCCGTCGGGATGGTCGTACTAGATAGACATTGTCAGCAGGTTGACTACTCCTGTAGATGTATATTTTTTTGATGACTCACCAAATGCTTCGCAACCAACTTGATGCCATCAGTGCAGATGACCGTACCTCCCCCCTTGGGCATGATATCCGTGAACAGGGGAATCACCAGCAGCGCCTGCTCCGGACTATCCAGAAAATGGACGAACCAGTCGCCGTCATTATGCCAGTTGTCCAAGGTACGATAGTCCAGCGGATCATCCGGCTTGTATTCGGGCTTGCCCAGGTTCACGATGAACCCGTCCTTCCACTCCTTGCACCAGTCCGCTATGCGGTCCTCGCCCCCGACGAGCTCGCACATGGTCGCGTAGGCCTTGGGCGCGAATTCCTTGACCGACACGGTGACGTGGCCCGGCATGTTGAGCTTCTCGGTCGGCCAGGTCGATTTGTCAGTTGGCGAGGCGCCGAGGCGCACCCATATCGACGAGGTGAAGGCCTCGGCGGCCTCGCGGCTGAAGCATTTGGGGATCTTGAGGAAGCCGTGCTCGAGCCAGAATTGCTTCTGCTCGTCGGTGAGGGAGTAGTCTTCGGTGGCGGAGGGCATGGTTGAATCGTTTAGAAAGGAGTTATTCTAGTGCTATGCTGTTCCTGACTTTCGACTATGATCTCGATAGATATCCTCTGATTCCTGCAAATGCATCTGAACTCATCGAGTTGATCCATCGCGATATAAATATCTATCCATGCATACAGTACAGCGGGGTTATCTCCGATCCCCCACGTTTCTTTTTGCTTGTTATTTCAATTTAGCCTGACTGGAGACGAGTATGACGCAGTAATCTCCAGATTTCCCGTCAATTTATCCGTAGGAATCTTCTATCCCAAAACGGCTGTCTGTTTCCGTGACGGTCGACAATTGGATGATTGGAGACGGCGTTCGCCTCGGGCTGTATCTCGGGGAGAATGCCTTGTCTCCTCTTATTCATCCTTGTATCGGCCGAAAAGATAGTTTTCGTTACGGAAATATCCAGATGGTCGTGTCTTGGGGTCGATAATATTAATGTTTGCGGAGAAATAGGCTGCGGAATTTACGGATAATCGCGCATGTTGGAATAGTTGTTACTGCCATTCAACCTCTTTTTGGACTATCCCGATAATTAACAGGATAGAAGGCAAATTGAGTAGCTTGCTATGCTAATCATGCGTTGTATATTGAGGTTGAGAGTACTGGTAGGAATATGAATAACCCTAACTTATCCGAGCACGACAGACAGTAGCAGCCATGCTACGTCTCGTAACAGACTTCGCTCGTCCAGTGGTATATCCTGACAAACAGGATTGCCTGAGACTACTTTAACATTCTTCCTCCTCCTCCCTCTTTGTCTGCACCTCTCTCCCAACGATGGCATCCTCTCCGTCAAACAAGCGCGCAATCTCCTCGAGCGTAGGAAACAGGAACCAAATCGCGATGCATTCGAAGACCAGGATAGCGATGTACACGAAGTAGAACTTCCAGGAGAGATTCTCTAGACCGATTGGGTTGACTGGTAGTCATCAAGTTAGCAGATGCAATCAGATCGATATGAATTTCCGTCACAACCCACCGTATTGATTGAATATCGACGCGAGAGCCTTGCAGGCATACAGAATGGCCAGACCCTTCGCTCTGATATTGTACGGCAGGATCTCGACCGGATACGCCACCGTCAGCCCCGGCCAGGCCAGGCCCGCCGCGCTGAGGAACAGCGGCCGTCGGCCGACTTTGTCCACAAACAGCGCCGACGTGATCCCGATGAGAAACGACCAGATCGTCAGGCCGCCGTTGATGAGCGACTGCTTGTACGAGCTGCTGATGCCGATCGAGTCGAGGATGCTGTGCAGGTAGTACGACACGAGGCCGTTGCCGGAGCATTGCGAGAAGAACGCCGTCAGGACGATCAGCAGGAGACGCTTTCTGTTGCCGGGCGTCTTGAGCAGGGTCTGCCATCCGTTTGTCGAATTCAGCTTCTCGAGACGGATCGTTTCCTGGATTTCGTGGAACTCGGACATGACGAAACGGTCGTTGGCGTCGCCGGCGGCGTGGTACTACCACTATTTAACTAGATGGTCATATATATGGTCGCGTGCTGTCAACCTACCTTCACCAAAACAGGCAGCGCTTCGTCCGCACGGTCCTTCGAACACAGCCATCTAGGGCTTTCCGGAAGTAGAAAAACGAGCAGCAGCTGCAGCCCCGGCATCAGGACCTGCAGGGACTGCGGAATCCGCCATCCGGCGTCAGTCGTGTACTTGACAGTGCCGAAGGCGATGATGGCGCCGATGTTCTTCAGCCAGCTATATCAGTGGATTAGATCAAAAGCAGTGCAGAACATAGCTACACTCACATATACGACGTTGTACCTGTCCGAACATTAGCGAAAGCTAGATGATAAAAATATCAGGGTTGGTAGCATACATCGTCGTAATCCTCCCCCGGTGCTGTGGATGAGCGAGCTCGACGACCAAGACGGGAGCAGAACCCTGCGAGATATTCGATCTGCCATAATCAGCAAGCTGCCTTTACTACCTACCCAGGTAGATAATCTCTCATTGTATGAACACACCCCAACCCAATCAGAAACCTCCCTCCGATAAACACAGCATCATGGTTCGTAGCTGGGACAACTGTACCCCAAGTTAGTGGATCAGCACATTTTTGTCGTGTGTTTGGTATTCTCTACCCTGCACGAATAAAAGTGAGAATCACACCGATACAGATCCCGACTCGTCGGCCCAGAATATCAGCCGCGTATTATTATTATTATTATTATTCAAGTTTAACGTCCATACCGAGCCTTTCGGCTATGACACGACCCCGAATCGTGGGCGACGCCCCTATCTAGTCTCTAATTCCCCTCTTTGACCATTCTGGACCTTTTCCTCGCCCCAAACCGCCTTATTGCGCAGGGCTTTTGGGCATTATGTATGCCCTCCTTGGTGTTATCACTGAATGGGTGTCACCTGCCTGCTGCAGGCCACCCTCCCCTATTATCCCTCCCCCTCTCGTTCTGCCTCCTCCAAGGCCTCCAGCCCCCATTCATCATCCCTA